ACATTCACAGTCACTTTTGGCTAGATCTTGTACAAATGTTATTATTTCTATTTTATGGAACGATGAGGTCTATTTGGTTTGTATATAAACCCGAGATGAGTATACAATTATGTCCAATTGAAATTTTTGTATTAAAAAATGTTGTTACCCAATCCTAGAACAATCATGTTAGTAAAGCTGTTGTAAAAGTTATTCTTACAAATTTAAACACCGGTAGATTGTGTGATTGGATTATCGTGTAAGTGCACTTGGATGCAATTTTGATGAGGATATTGCAATGAGAATGACATCAGTCATCAGATCTCTCTTGTTAAAGTATCATGCTATGGTGACGTATATTCAGTGATTTTATATGTAACCACATTTTTATTCAATATCTGTTGTTTTTCTGCATCACTTGTTAATAAACGATAATAATTATTTTGATGATTAATATGTAGTGACTCATATTTATTACGAGAACACGACTGGTTTAATAAAAACAATTATTATTACAACCAACTGTACCAGTGTTTGTTTTAATGTGCTTTTGTTTGACTGTGCTAATGACAGCTGTGGAGATATGACTGACAAGCTTATTTTGTAAATAGTTTTTAATATTATTTGTATTTGTTTTGTCAATTTTTCACTGTATGTACATTCATCATTAAATGGCTGTACGTGTTGTTTTAGTCAATGACCTTGAAGACACTTTCCGTTGTGATTCCAACATAGCGTGACATATTCCTTCTGGCTAACAAATACATTACTACTCACACATCCCTCGTTCTGTTTTCATTCGAGATTGAGTTAACTTAGGTCTAAAACAAATATTATTTACATTCATAGACTGAGAAAGTGAATACACTATATCTTACTTTGGATTACACTACTGGGGAGATCATCGATACGTTTGGAATTACCAAGCATCTATAATTGTGGATTTTATGTACCAGATCAAAGCCGAACACGCATCATTTTGGGTGAACTTAAGTAAAGTCCCATTTTTATTGTATTTGTAACATTTAACTTGTATATATTAATATTACTATTGATTGTTATTAACTTTGTTGATACCTTTTGCTTTTATATATTGTCTGGTCCACCACACAGCTATATTGTGCTTCCATTATTATTCACACTCTTTGATTGTGACTTTGCGCGAATTCGGTTACGTTGTGTACCCAAGCTTGTATCCTGGCACGATCTCGGTATCCTTTCGATACCACGAGATCGCCAGCAAATATATCTCGATTTGGTCCATTAATTGCCTTCTGATATTTGGCTTCTCGGAGATTTTATGGATTTATTTGGTTACGTTCAACCTTCGCCTTCTGATTTATTTGGCACGTGTTTTTTGGTAGCGGTGTTCATAGTCAATCCCGACTCGACGCCACGCTACAAATATACGGATTTACTACTACCGCGTTGGTTAAAATATAGAACGCTATCTACGCCGTTTGTTCTTCTGCTTTATTGGCCACGGTTTTCATTGAAGACTGTAGTAGTGTTATAACATCCTTTTAGGCCTTCGAACACTACGTTGGACTTTTGGTACGGATTATTTTTATATAATACTATTGGACTCTGTCTTTCTCATTACGCCGTTGATGCAATCACTTGCAGAGGAATCTTCGTCAATCAAGTGAACTAAATTTGTGATTGTTATCTCACGAGGAAGCCCACAAGTATCATTCATTCCATAATAACTGTTATTAACTGTTTGTTTAATATACCATTTTTATCTTAACTGTATTTTGTTATCCTTGGTTTAACACGCAGACAGACACCTAGGGTTTTTACTGCTAACTCTCTTGGTATATTATTATTAACTTAGTGTATCGATATATCTTGTATAAGCTCCTTTTGCTAGGAACCACCACAATGCTAACGATCATGGTCTTCGAGTCAATTTCACCCTATAAGTTGAGAATGACTTTTCAGATTGACCAAGATTCCGATGAAACTAATGATTGGTCTGGGTGCGCTAGTATTCGTAACAATTCAACTAGAAACATCATTTACACTCCTGTTTACAGCAAACGAAATGTATATCCAGTTGACACATATACATGGAAGTGATGCATAAGGAGACATTTATATCCCATTTCTGTGACCTGTACTTTCCTAAAATAATATATGGTGTTAGTGGTGTGTTAAGAGCTAGATTACTACGTTCAATGAACCCTTATTTACTATATAGTAACCAGTTATTTGTGTTTATATATTCCATACACTATACGCAGTTTTTAAAATAAACATCTAAAGCTTCTTATAGGTTCTAATAATTTTATTCGTCCTCTCTTTGTCTGGTGCTTCAGGATATTCGTTTGATAAATTCTATCATTTTATTTTGACCTGCATTTCCTAGATCTTAAAGAACTTTATCGAGTAAAGTGTGAAACTACTGGCAGTAGTAAATAATACGTCTCGTAACAAAAATATGATATTCCATCTATTAACACAGTAAGCAACATTGTGCCTCGACAGAATTTGAGCCAAGTCCATAAGTACCAACAACGAAATAAATAAGATGACTCAGCCGACTTTACAATTACTACGCCTTGAATTTGACCACATACAACTGGATGGAGACATCCACACTCACCTCCCAAATCAAATCAAGCAAGATAAAACCCCTGTAGAAGGTTTTAATGAGTGACTTGTCACAGCCATAACAAGTTCAGGATTGACTGAATATGTAGGTGATGCCATGAGATGGGGTATGATGGAAAACCGACTATTTACTAACAAATCATCAGCTTCTAGTCGAAGATGTCCATGTTCGTGAACCAAATGAAAGTAATAACAAAATCACAGTCATATCTAACGTTTTAGAAAATGACGACTTGCTGTGGCCGAGATATACCGGTTCATGTGATAACTCTAGACTTCTCATAAGCCTTCCAAACAGTAGGGTTGCAAAGATGTGTTTCACTGATTCATTTCTATCTTGACTCCAAAACCACACGTTCAACAGGATTTTTCGTACCAAGGACAATAGAGTACATGGGTGTTTGATGGTCTCAACATCGGTAGTTTCAAAAGGAACAGTTGTTTTGTAATCTTCTGTTCCCGATCTTTATCATTAATGTGTTGGATAAAACTGGCTAAGCGACAATAATCTATACGGACGAGTGAGGGATCTGGTGGCTCATTTGAAATAAAGCGGATCCACCTGAGATTTAAAAAAACTAAACAAGAGTAGTTGATAGTGTGTTTAAATTTAACTGACGAAATGACATGTTCAGAACACTCTCTCCCGTTTTATGCAGAAGACGTACATCCTCCATGGAAATCCACTCCTGAACTCTTCTCAGAGGAATACTTTAAGCTAGTAACTATAGCGAGCTTGGACAACAACTAAAACTACATTGAAGATGTAACCTCAACAAATGTGTGGGGAAAAGTAAAAGTAGACCTTCTTATAATTAATTTTGTTGCTATTTGCATTTTTCATGAATTCTTACGACTTGTACAATTTCGATTTGTGAACACGCATAACATGAACCATAGATTATTGCTCACAATTACTCTGCCGTACACATAGGTTATTCTAGCCCCCGGACAGACCAATCTATTCATTCTTCTGAAACCACATTTTGACCTTGTCATTTATTCCCTTATTGGCCTTGACTGTCTCTGTGTGAGCGTATCTGTGTAAATTTCCTATCTTACTCATCACATGTCTGTAACTCATTTTCGCTAGCTATAAATATCGATCCACGCTTTGGTTAAATGAGTTGCCTTACAAACCTCCTCCGCCGTGCCTCCTTTCACTTCACTCTCCTATCTCCGCTTCGTCGCTCTGATCGCTTGTTTGGATTAACGATTGTATGATATACGCGTATTCGAAAACCATTCTCATATTTGACTTATTTAAGTCTGTTTATAACTAATGTGAGTTAAGTCAATAGTTATATAGTTATATATCTCTCAAATCAAGTACAGAGACGAGCTACCAAGCGTGTGACATAGCTGATTCGTAAACCTTACGAGTACAGACTCCAACACTTTGGATTGTTCTCTCTGTACAATATGAGAAGAGATAGTCTGATAACAGTATGCAACATATTAAGTGCTTCAAGCCGAGCATATCCACAGAACGTCATCACAATGCTTCTCAAGAGGATTGTCCAAAAACTGAACGTTCAAGAGGAAAAACCAAAGTATGACCCCACTTTTGTCATTAGTAGTTGCCCTTATTTGGAATTGTCACTAAGCGAAATGACCACAGCCCCTTTAGTTGAAGGCTTAGAGCGGATACCTGGTAGCATTCGATCTTCTCTAAGAAGGACTTGACACACTTGACGTTGATCATCATCCAGTGATCAATCAACTGTGATTAAATCTCAGTGCTACAGGAGTTCGATCACGGCTCGAATAGCTCAGTGGCGACGTTTCTGGCTGTGAAGCTGGGTGACACGGGATCGAATTCGCCAGGGAGCATCAGTTCCCTCAAGATTACAGGTGCGTCTTGCTGACGAGTGCCAAGTAGCACGAAACCCGGGTCCAGAGTTTCCTGTTGACTACCTCCAACCACCATCTTACTTGATCAATATGTACTCACCCATGGATTGACATCTTCCCCTTGGAACAATTATCCAATGTATGTCACATGTTATACAACGGTTATCACTAAAACATATCATTAATTGTCCTCTATCTCGATCATAATCACCTCGGGTTTCCCTCTTATTCTTTCGATTTGATCTGCTCACTGATCAACCAATAAACTTATTTGTTTGTTGTTTGAACTAATCATTTGTTTGAAAACCAATTAATAATTAATTACTTTTCACACTGTATTTGGTCGACCTCCTGCCTAGTAATTGAATAACCGCTAGCGCCTTGAATCCCTATTTCCCTGAAAAAAAACGCACTCAGTGTCCATTGGCTATTACAATATCTGAAATCGTAACAAAATAACTAGAAGCAAGAGCAAAGAAGCTAATCGTTGTACACATGTTGTCACTAACATAGTAGGTTGACTAAATATTGGCTTTTGTACACCGTTACCAATACTCTGCCAATTGTTCAACGGGTGCGTTACACCACGAGTAATTTACTTTCCTTCTTTTCGTGGATGTACCAGCCCAGAGAAACGAGGTTCTTTCTGTATAAACTCGAATTTTGTACATCGATAGAAGCTTGACGACTCAGTTTGCTCGGAAAATGGTAACTAATAAAATTATAAATGTAGGAATTAATATGTATATTAACATTCTGTTGATGTTAGACAGGGTTTCATTTTAACTTAGTTTCTTACGAGTCCTGATTTTATTAGAGAGAATTTAATTTGCTTTTTTGTATCTACTCGGTGTCCTAATTTAGAATAAGGCAAGTTAAAGTGATACTTATTTGTGTCGGCATTGTGTTTTTACCATCACCTCATTCCTGGTTTATCCAACACCACATCAGTGTGAGCAGTGACCAAATCATAACACATACACGGGCCAAATATGCTGTACACCTGTGCAGTTATCAGCTGATGTACCTGGTTTTAAAATTTTTTCCTAATCAATATTAAGCATTATGTTTGGTATATTTTAAAGAGCGTGACCCGTTACATGTAGCGTTTTCATTTAGTTTCCCTTCAAAAATACTTTACGGCTACGAACAGTAACCTAGCCTTATGATCTATCACTATTTGTTGGAAACTAATTTTACAAATAAATATAAGATTCATCGGGATTCTTATGTCTGTTTATCTAAGCAGTTTTTTCCTGGGTTTTAGACTTTCGACACAGTTATACGTTTTACCATCATGCTCATGACCATTTGTACCAATTACGTTGTGGTTCACTTTCAGTCCTAATCAATCAGAACCATTGTAATGGAAAGTGAGTTTTTATGTTTTAATTGTTTCTTCACATCTACAGAATCAAGAAATTGTTTGAGAAACCTTTTATCCACTAATCCCGTTACAAGAGTACTAATGGGTAATGAGGGGAGTTCGAATCACTGTGAAACTGTTGTTGTGGACTACAGGTACTTTTTCTTTAAGTGAACTATCATTTTCATCAATCTCTTTCCCCTTCGTTCTGCCTTCATTAACATAAGCTCCCCAAATATTGCTAAACCATTTCACCTGGGGCATTTCCGAGCTACTGTAACAGGAAATTTTGTTAAAAACATCAATGAAGCTTTTGGAAATAAAGTAATTGGAATAAATTACATTGGTGATTGGGGTACTCAATTCGGTAACTATTTTGTATGCTTTCTGGACACTTTCTAATTTATTTGACTTTTCTAAATGTATTGAGCCTGTTTATAAATGCTATAGGTGGAGAGAATTCCAGCTGCTATTTGTAGTTTTGTCGGTTATGTATTATCTGAGCTATATAATTTAGTTTTGAAACTCATCACCATTCGAGATATCTTCTGCGCCTGCCTCTACATAAATTGAGTTTGTATGCACCATAGGGTAACTAGCACTCAGAAAAAGGCAGCAGACTTTTATACGTTTATACCATCTATTTAAATCGTTAATTAAGCCGTGGATGAAGAACGCTAAAGCACATTGTGATATATGCAAATCTGTAAACGATAACCGAGTAATCTAGGTTTCAAATATTAGGTTCTTATTGGTTTGCTAATATTTCAATTTGATGCCTCAACCTGCACATTCATATTATGCAATTGAACATCCTTAGTTATAACGCGGTTACAATCTTGGGTAACATAATGAGATAATGAGTGGATCTCGTCACTAACTTTCATCTCTACAAAATTGATGGGTTGAGAACATTCAGGTTTATCATGTACCTAAGCTCACAAAGCCAAACGATAAGTATAGGACGAAAAGTAAATCCATACTACCGGATTAACCTGGTATTAAACTTAACAAAGGTCTTAGCTTATATATCCTTACCTTAACGCCAGTACAAGGACAAAAGCATATATTCTACCTAGTTTCATCCCCGTAACATGTTCGGCAGTGTGTGTTTATGGTTCTGAATCGCAAGAATTCTTAAAGTAACGAAAACCGAATGGGTTACATAAATCGATCATCCGATTATAACTAGTGCTACATTGTCTAGTAACTAAGCGCATTATTTCGTCGATAGATTTAATTCAAAACTGCCAATTATCCCAATAAAAATTTAGCGACTGATATAAGTAATACCGTACAAATATCTGTGGTTATATTGTACGGTACCGAATTGTTTATTAAGCGACATATGAATTTCACCCTCTCTTAGTCAAAAACCCCACCTAAAAACCTAAATAGTTTAGTTCTTAGTGAGACAATTTATCTCAAACAAAGCATTATATAATTTCTCTAAAGTCATTCTATTTAATAATATAAAGTTTCATAAATAAAAAAATAACCCCTAGATATCTTAGCATCGGGATTTTCAAAATATGGGGATCAGGTTGAATTGCGAAGAAATCCCATTGAACATTTATACAAAGTAAGTATGTGTTAGTTAGAAATATCTGTGTTTTATTGTCGACTTACAAACCTATATCCAGAATATTTCACTCATAACAGTGTCGTTTTGAATAGATCAGTTTTTTCAACTTTTAATAGTGAGATGGACGATGTCAAATTACTGTTAAAACGACATAAGCGTAATAAATGGATCAATACATAAACCCCCTCTGCTGTTACTGCTTACTACATAAGTGAACGACTCGTTAAGTTGTTAGATATATAGTGCGAAGCAGACGTTTTCCATGAAGTATTTTCGCTAATGTCGTCTAATATCTGTGGCTACGATACTGCATTTCACTCTTCGAAAATCCAAACAAAAATTGAAAGAAAACAACATATATTTCAGTTAATCTGAATAGTAAAGTTATAGTTACGATAGGATTCACATGAGAATCTTGTAGCATCTTTTTGATTCTTCCCTTGATTAGGTGCAAATCGACCAGTCACTGTATTCCGGTTTGAGCTTGATCAGCGAACACTATGGTCAGGACTAAGCTCCTAACATTAAATGACATCTGCTGGAAAACAGGGAATATCAAGTCGTTAACCACTGAGTTCAAGTAGACTCTAATTTGTTCAATGGCTGTAAACTTATTCATAAGGGTTTATACTTTTCCTTTGTTGATGTTAAAGACTTCAATTTACCAATCTCTACTGAAATACGTGCTTACTGAGTAGATTGCCTCAACATTAACCACAAGTTTTATTAAATGTGAATAACACATTAGCAATTAGAACTATGGGTACTAGGTTCAGTTCACAATTTTGAACATCAACATTGGATGCAGGCATTTTCTGCTGACAAGTTTCAGATGGAATAAATCGCCTTTCTTCAATTCTATTGCTACTAGCCATAGTCCAAATTTATTAAAACTGACGACAGACAGCAACATCGAAATAATGCTCTGAGGATACACACAGCCAACAGACACTGATCATTTATAATCGTTAACATCAACAATAAGGAAATAATATCCGTTATAAAGAATAGGTCTTCTACCATTTTATTTTACTACAACAGGTCTATGTACAAGCGAATCGTGATATTCAATCATCAAATGAAAAAAATCTACCATATGGAATTGATCATGGTAATCAATCAGTTAACTTTTTCAAACCGATACTCAATAATACAACTGAAATACAATCTCGTGATACTGAACTCTGGCGATATATTCGTGAAGTAACTTGTGAACAGTTGCAATCAAATTACCAGGTAAAAAAAGAAAAGAATTACTATTTTATTATACATGTTATTATTGTCGTCATCTTCTTCACATTATTTTGTTTCCTGTTACTGTTCAGTAGTTGTAATTAAAGCTTGTTGATAGAACCCTTACTCAGCTATATAGGGGCGGTCAAACAAAAGCGTGGCGTCAGTCCACAAAGTCATTAACTTCTGGTTTTAGCTATGTTGGTAGATACAGACCACTTGGTTGGGATCCGCGTGACTATCGTGACCAATCGTTGGAGACTCTGGGCGACATGGCTCAGAATCGATCACAATTGCGTAGGTGTATACAATCTTTGTCTTCTCTCAAACCGTGAGATTAAAATACCTTACATTTCTTTCTACAAACAGATTTTTATCCCTGTATCATATCCTTATATACAGTCTTTCTTTTACATATTAATACCGTTGAAGTGTCTGATTCTATGAATTTGGTGTTCATGTTGTTGTGCTGATGAGGTGTAGCAACTCGAACTGATCTATATATGTGCCTGGACATTCGTTTTAGCTGACTGATATATTTCTGTGTTTATTACGTAAAAATAATTAAAAATGCTTCAACTATGTATCTTTATTCTAATCGTCTATCACAATAAATTAATATCAGTTAGGAGAGTAGCTACTAAATAAAACAGGTTTTTTCTTCTAAAAAAGGAACACATCAATGTACAGATCAGACGTAATTGGAAGTTGTTCAACATATGTGAATAACTAAAGAATATGATAACTTTAGGTCATTCACTTTTCAATAAAATCAAGATCAATTCACATGGCGTCATATTCAGTCAGTCAGTAACAACGTAGAACTTCGTACGTACGTACATCAGTTCGAGTTGCCACATCACATTAGCATAGAGATGCAGTGGTCGATTCAAATCCCGTAGTAGTAGAGGTAATAAGAGTATAAGCAGTAATCGGGAAGATTAGTGTTTGGAGATGTTACTTAAAGAGTATAATACAGTGAAATAAATTTGAGAGGAGAAAAAAAAGAGACAAGGAGGAATAAGGAGATCAAAATTTGGGAGAACACAAAGAGTAGATGCACCTGCGCCATTGCAAACGATTTTGAGCCATGTCATTCAGGGTCTCTAACCATCGGTTGTTATCATCTCGCGGTCCCCAACCAGGTAGTCTACACCTAGCGACATGACTCAGACCACTTGTCAGTGACTTCATGGACTTGTGCCATGTTTTGGTCTGGCCGCCCCTAGCTTTCTTCCAACCTGCTCCTATACCACTGGACATCGCACGTCGCGGCAGTCGGTCGTTGGGCATACGTAACACATGTCCAAGCCATCTCAACTGATGAAGTTTCACTACGTCATCAATGGATTTGCCATCCTTACATGGCGTCATATTAATCTTTGATTATTAATTCTAGATACCTCATTGCCTTTTGCGCTGATTTTTCACAATGAAAAATATAATTAATTTATCAACAATAACAATAACACTTTTAATAAGGAAACCTATAAGGAATTTTAATTAACTAGGCTCAGGGAAACTAAGTAGTTTTAACGGCTAACTGCAATCGGTTAAGTCATAGGTTCAAATCTCCTGAAGGTTAGTGAATGTCATTTCATTCTATTACATCAAACAACATACCAGCAAAACAGAATAATACGTGGTATATTTATAGGTCTATTTGTTATTACGTCATACTTCTCTTGATTGCAAAAGTTAACTTTAATGTGCAGTCAGTAAAATTATATGTGATCGGCTAGTGGGTGTAAACAAATAGACACACAAGTGTGTTGAATTTGTGGGACAGTTTCAAGTTGAATATTAATTTTTACGATTGTTATGTACTCCAGGTTTCATTGTCTATGAGCTACTTGTATTTGTGTTAATGAAACTTGTCTAACCTATGATCTGGTTCTCAATTGTGTTGTTCTTGAATTCTGTATCGTTGTATATTATGATCTCTCGTCTAGTGGTGTATTATCTACTGTCGTATTACATACTTAGTATCGGCAAAGTGTTTATTATTTTTGTAGTTACAACAGTATCTTAAATAAAAGTAATCCATATGAACTAAAAATAGGAAAGTATTCAACTACAAAACAGGATAAACAAATTGCATAAGTTTTTGTATCAACAGTACCGATCTTGGTGTCATTCAATAAAGTGTTTTTATAACCACTAGTAGTTTTCATCATCCCAAAATCTGTTCGCCCTAGCATCCGTTAATTATCTGAATCAGTTGTGGATCGACAGTCACTAATTTAACAAGATCTCCAACAACTCTGAAAGACTCGAAGAATGAACAAAAACTGCAAATAACTGTGACAAGGGTTAAGAGAGTATAATTACTCTGACAAAGAAAATGCATATTATTAGTTTAGTTAAGAATATTACACAAGAAATAAACGTACGCTGCATCATACATTCAGAAATTATTAGAAATGAAACGGGTTACTGAATAATAAAAGTAGTATACGTGAATACACAAAAATGAGTTGAGTGGGAAAAGACGGATGATGCAAACGAGGTTAACATTTATCCTTTTCTAAATTCATTTGTTCTTGTCTCAATATTCTCCAATTATACCAATGAGTTGATCATTTTAAACTTTGTTTTTCCTAACTATCCTAATAGCGTATGAATATTCAATTTACAAGTTACGAATATGAATCCGATTATGTGGAGAAGGCTTATTCACTTGCTAACATGTTACTAGCCAATGGGTTAGCTTACAAAAGTTCGTAAGTTGCTTTGACTTTAATATATTGCCAAATAATTTATAATTTAGTCATTGTTTTGGATGAGGGATAATTTCTAAAGAAAATTAAACAAAAGTATTTCACACTAACGACCTTAGTCTTCTTATCACCCAATCAGAAAGCAATCCCTAGTTATAAAACAATGAACAATAAAATAAGTCTGCAGTTAAGTAGTGAACTTGACACGATCAGGAGTCCGTGAGTTGAATTTATGACCCTATAGGGTCTTTTTTACCAAGTGACATTAAATATAATTCGAAAAACGTTAGAGTTAGATAATAAGAATTAAACCAGTGTTATTATGTACTGGGATTACGAATTAAGCTTAGGATACTTGTCAACAACTGTCATGAGCTTTAATTCAATGTGTCATTAACACACTTTGTTTTACAAGCTTGAAAGCCATTGGTTTGAAGTTCAGAGTTGGGAGTTGAAGTACAGGAATATTATCTAGAGACACAAGCACTCTTAACTATGCACTGAATCACAAAAAGTACTTTACTGCACAATCTACGTCAGGAACAGGTGTTTCTTGTAATTAGAACTGAGCACTATATCACATTCATTTTCTGGTTGTATAGTAGCTATTTTTTCTTATCAATTTCAAGTATTTTATTAATCAACTATTGCCAATTTTTATTTAAATTCAATGGTTGAGATCATGAGTCAATTGAAGCTAAACCATCATGGAAAACCTAGAAGCACTGGACGGCCGTTTCATCCTATTGTGGGACTCCTCAGCGCACGTGAGACTGATAGGTCCTGGGTTCGAATCTCACGGGGCGGGATCGTGGATATGCACTACTGAGTAGTCTCATAATAGGACGTAACGACCGTCCAGTGCTTCCATGTTTTCCACGGTGGTCTAGCTTCAATTGACTCATGATCTTAACCATTGAAATTACTATAATATCAACAAAAACCCTTCCGATATTAATTTTTATTTAGTTAATTCCAATATACAAGTTAACTAGCACTGTGCCTTTAATTGTGCGAAAGATATATGTGGTTTTGTCTTGATTCTGATTAGTTTATTCAGAGTTGATAGTATAATATAATTTTACCAAAAATCTTCCTGTATAGTATTTGTAAAGGTTTGTATTTTCTCGTTGATGATATTGATGATTATATCTGATAAATCTCTATTACGATATGTATATCCAGAGCAAATAACCTCACTGTTACAGAAAATTGGAAAACGCAAACCCTTACAAACAAAACGTATAGCTGTTACATAAGCTGGTGGCCATCCCGACTCAGTATCTCAGTAGATAAAGCGTCATTATTTGATGGAATACACAGTGGACTCGAGTATCGATGTGAAAATTAACATGGATTCATTTACATTTAACTAACAAGTCCCATCTGGGATGAAACGCATCGTAGATTCCATTCTTAGTCAAAATTTGACTTTTCTCAGACGTTTTGATTTGAGATAGACACACGTAGATACCTGGATTTGTTACGTATGATATCTGATCATTGGACTTTGAGAATTTATAATGGTCGGTTGACTGCTCGCTTGTATTTCTGCACGTTCTGGTTAACTTATCACAAGGCCTAGGTCACAGAAGTCGGTTTTCTGACTGGTAGTTTTATTAAGTGATAATTGACAGGGGCAAACGTCATAATACCCTTAGGTATTCTAACCTGTATTACCCATCGTTTTGTTCATAGACGTCAACACTATTCATTTATTCCAAACTTATCTTTTTTATAACTCCACTGTTTTCACCATTTAATTACTGATTTGTGGTAATCCAACAACATATAGGATGCACTATGTATTGTAGTGTTATTAAGTTATTTGATCAAGTATGGTAAGGTAAATAGTAGAATGTACTTTCACTGTATAATCCATTGTTATACTGGTTATCTATTTCATTTTTGTGTTATTGTATTTTTGTTTTCAGTGATGGACTGACTTGTATGTCGACAGCAAACAATAATGATGTGAATTTTTCGAATCAAAATATTATCCTATTAAAAAGTGATAAGTCAACTTTATATTTAACCAGGTAAATAACTTAAACAATTAATTTTTTTAACTTTTTTATAATTAGGCTTGCTTATCTATACTTCATCATATTGTTACTAGGATCTCTTTTATGTGTCAGTCAGTAACAACGTAGAACTTCGTACGTACGTACATCAGCTCGAGTCGCCATACCACATTAGTACAGAGATGCAGTTGTCGGTTCAAATCCCGTAGTGGTAGAGGTAGTAAAAGTATAAGCAGTAATAGGAAAGATTAGGGTTTGGAGATGTTATTGAAAGAGTATATATGTAGCTTGCTTTTTTTTATAATGAATAGTTTTCTTTTTAACTCACAGGGATATAGCGGCGGCAATTTCTCGTTACGAAAAATACCATTTCGATAGGATACATTATGTGGTATGTAATATATTTGTTATATATATGCACGTATTTATGTACTAATGGTTTTGTCACTATGCAACAAAAGATTAATTCAGTAGTAAAATTCATTTTTCCTCGGTCATTATATTTACAATCATAAGTACAACTTGGAAGTTCGAAAGTTGCTGAAAATAAAAATTTCGTCACCAGACAGCTCTCTCTCTCTCACTCTGGTTTCATGTGTCCAACAAATGATTACCTTTTATATTTTATTTTTATAATCAATGGACAATCGACCAAAGTAGGTTTTATTCACCGATAATTAATATCACTTGCGATACCCTTTAGTGATGTCATAAATACTCATTCATGAGGAGTTACATAATAGGACGAAACAGCTGTTTAGCACTCCATAGTTTTCAATGATACCTCAATTGAGATTAATCTGTGACGAATAGAAGCTACAAATTTGACGAATCTTCACAAAACCCGTAAAACTGGTTGACCGGAGCACCTAAATTTTTGGTAGTGTTCGGTGACTTTTTGACATGACTACGTTATGTGGCTAAAAGACACTTACGTATTAATCCATAAGTTCGACCACCGCTTCACCTAATTTGCTTCATGTGGTCGGATGGCATTACTATCCCATGTCCAAGTACTGTGTTGCTGAAGTTTAAGTGCGTAAGTCGGAATTTGGTTAATAACTTAAATTTCAAGATTATTTCAGTATTATGCTACATGTGAATAGCTCATACTCTCTGTTAATTATGTGTTCATCTCTTATATTTTGGATATAATTTTCCGATTCTTGACTATAGTTGTGTTTCTCGACTTTATGACTCCAGTTAACTTAGTTGACTACTGAGACTTCTCGTAGCAGCATTTGTCATTAAAAGGGCGTACTAATGAAGTTCTTGAACCTTGTAAAGGTTATCCATTCCAGTACTATTTTTCAAGTTAAGGCTTATGGTGAACTATCGTCAGAACTATCAGTCTCATAATGTTGTTCATCAGGGTTACCCGATATCTTGTTTCTTAGTTAATTTCACTATAAATGGTCTAGAAATCACACTTCATAAATTCCACTTGTCCACTGGAAATACTCAGATGGTATGGTCTTATTTAGTGAAGACGTTGACATAGTTCTTAGTCTTCTGAATACTTTGATTAGCAATTCAAGCGTGTTTAGTGTGAGTTTCTCTCCTTCTAAATTTAAAGTTTGTTTCAGTACTGGTCTGGCTAGAATAGTTGAATCCATTAACCACTTCATTTACGTATCATTAGTCACTGCCTACATCAACAGGCCATATTGTGATGTGACGTTTTGGCTGGCAGATGTTTCAATGTCATGCTAAAACGCCAAGTAAAATGGCTCTTTTTGTGATTTTTATTATGTTTTCTGTAATCCAAATTATTCTTGTTATATTATCTATTAGCCAGCATAATCCTGTTTATTACTTTATTTAAAGGTTGAAATCGGACAGCGTTTACACTTTCAACAACTCAACTATGTTCTCCTAAAAATGGGTTATAATTGGCCAGTTTTGTAAGTATCAATGTTTTTGTATTCAAATGAATTTTCTTCAATGTAGAAGCTGCAGTTGGTTTCAGATATGTGGATGTGTTTCACTTCTTATTCTATTGAAGTTGATCAGCACACTGAGAATTATATAACGGAAAAATTGACTAATTCTGGGTGGTCATTCAGTCCAAATATCCAACTATTAGGTGGTTAAAAGTAGTCAGCAGGATACACTGTTCTTAGGTTCCGTACCACCTGTCGCTTGTCATCAATGTATCTACAGTCTTAAGAGCATTGATACTCCCCATATCATTTTGAACTACGTCGCTTAATCTTAAAATCTGAGACGTTACGAATAAAAGATTCCGGCGCCGAACGACCTCCCGTAGGAATCAGATAGTTGCAATTTCTGTGCAACTGAGTAGTGACCAATATCATGTTTGTCCGATTTGATGATTACCAGAAATAAAATGTGCTTGGATGATTCCAAGTTGATAGATGTTGCATTTTAATAAATGTGGTTTATTCAACGAATAAGTAAGGTATTAGTAATGATAATGACTGATTAATCCTAAGTTCATTTCTATATAAACCTTGTTAATGTCAATTAGTGGTTGAATTATAAATCAAACATTTTATCCCATTGCTTGGTGGTGTAGTAAATTTTCTGGTAATGTGTTAGTATAAGAGAGCGCTTAAAATAATTTTGGGGAATTTTCAACCAATTCCTGACCAGTCACAAAACAGTTTTCGTAAATGGATAGTTTATGTATAAGAAAATAATAACATTACAGAGCGTAAGTAGATTTTACGTAGTTATTAAATATACTGAACTGGAACACTGGCTATTGAGCTGATGAGTTATAGTCGCGGTCAACTGCGTTAAAGAATTCGATTAAACTAATCCGTCGATATCTATGTGTTTGATTCGTTTTCTTTGTTCTCATTGTTACTGTCTTAATTCTACAGATTACCTGAACACAACATTTTACTCGACTGGGTGTCAGCAGATCAAGTTAGTCGAATTCTCTAATAAGGACAAAAACAGACTCGGTTTGACATCCAGTGTTCCATCTACTTCTAATGATGTAGTTTTTAACAGCATCCCTAAATTTATATATGGGTCTGAATATGGGAATACCCTTTCGATGTGGTCCGAGTGTTGGGAAATATGTTCAGTATAGTATTCTGTAGGCAGGTGGATACTTGGAAGACTCGCTTGTTGATGTGAACTTGCAAACAACGAACATGCATGCTACATTGACTTGATTATACGGAAGGTACTTCGAGAATTTAGATTCAAGGGGACAGTAACAAGTCCGAGATGTTCGGGGACTCAGCTTCACTGTTTAGTATTCTACATAAATGTCTTGATATAATATAAAGTGGAGCTGGTGATTACGGTACGCCAGCATCTGATGTCAACCTTAAGTGTGAATATCTCAATTTACGTTCCTTGATGGATAATCAGTTGAAATGTTTAGTGTTCATCAACTCACTTCAGTTACCACAGGACCCGTCTTTTGATTCGACTAGTTACCAGTCAGAACAATAGTTGGAAGTTGATGGAAGTATATCCTAAAGATTCAACCAGTATAAGATACAAAATGATAACAGCATTATTGTTTGTATAATATTCTCATAGGAAGCTTTGGGTATTTAGTATCACTATACTCACTGGAGCTGATTAGTCGGAAAATAAACCAGTCGCCGTGCACTAGTAAAGGCTGTATCCTATGAATATATAGATCGTTTAAAAATTTGTCTAGAGTAATGTTTTCAAAAAATATTCATCACTGGTTCTGATTGACACGAAGCCTAAATAGATTCGAGTTTCCTACCAACTACCTTCAAACACCACTTAATATTTCAACGTAGAACATGTAATATCAAGTCACTTAGATTCGTTGATCGCTTTGCAACTTAATTTATAGAATTGGACCAGCACTTAATGATTAGACAAACATAACAATAGTCATTATTTAGTGATTGTAGATTAGATTATGTTTTGTAACTTACTACATACAACCAGTTTTTGGTATCTTATTTTTCAATCATCAATTAGAATGAAATGTAAGCTTACAGAGAACGTCTATAATTGTTCACTTACAAGCAGTATAATTAAATAAGTCACAGAAAAGTAACGTTTCTACTTAGTCAAAGTAAAGTTACTTATTTTTGTTTTGCTCTTAGATCTATGGTCGGTGATGATGCTGATGATAATACTGATAATGATCAGTGTAGTCAATGTGCTCGTAATCTTTTACATATTCCATTCGGTCGAATTATGGGAATGAGTACTAGAAAAGGTGAAGGTTTATTTCTTTTGGATATTTTAAATAATGCTCAACAATTTATGCTGAATCGAATGAAATCTTCCCAAAGTAAGCAAACAATCATCTGTGTTTATACATTCAAACTATACTTTTATTTTTAGTCTTCGTAAATAGGAAAAAATATATACGGTTGTAGCAATGTAATCGTCTTACCCACTTATCACTAAGTTAGTTACAATCATATTAACACGACAGTATAATTTACTAGATGAATGCCAAATTAATTGAAACAATGTAGTGGTATTGGCAATAACAAAGATTAAAGATCCATTTCTCCTTCAAATGCTTATAACTTACTTGCAATATCGAGGCTGTCCACACAGAATGCTCATATACCAGAAGAAACTAATCAATCGCAGTCTTAAAATATCAATGGGAAGATTCAAACAACTAATAAATATCGATCGAAATTCACCCAATTGCACAAATCAGTAGCTTAGTGGATAACCCGATGGCATTTGAAGCGAAAGGTACTGGGTTCGAGTTCTAGAGTGAACATTAACTCTGAGTTGCAGGTACATTTATTCCCAAATAGGACCAAACGCGCGTTCTGAATCCCACTGTTAGCCACCATTCATCTCTATTTCAAATTGAAAATATGGCTTGAAAAGAAAGCGTGAGAAGATATGCATAAAAGGATATCGTGACTCAAGACCTAGAGCAACATAATAAGTGTGCCCATCTGTCAACTGAATGGTTCTAAGCCATTTAACTCGACGTTCCCAATCACCAATTTTCATGTACCCCTTAAATTGATGGTTTACACCTACGTACATATCTTATGAATTCTTGAACTGATTTGATTTGTTACTCACAGCTTTCTACTAACTTCTACACTATCACTGGTAGTGGTTAGACATACATACCATTATTAGTAAAGTATTATTAAACAGAGTAAGTTATTCGCTAGTATATGTGACAGATTATCTTTCAATTATTGATTTAAGTGGTTAGGTTTCATTGCAAACTGTTGTATAAACCCAAGATAACTCATGGAATAAGTTTCTTCCCCCTCCCTTCCTAATTGTTAAACAGTATCTTTAACAGTGAAAACATCCAATTTTAAGTAGTATGCCGCAATTACACTTTCATTCTCGTCGGAAACTTCTCATCAACAGTATTATATTAAAAAGTTTTCCTAATTTAAACATAACACAATTATTCATTGTTTCCTTGTTTTCACTGATTGTTTAATTAATTTCGGCTCTAATGAAATGATGTTATAGGTTAGGATGAATGCTTAATGATGAACCAGTTTAGAGTTAATAAAACAAATATGAGTAGAATGTTAATCGGTAGATGAATGAATCAACAAGATTTGATCGTGTGATAATTGCTAATGTGGCTGGATGATAATTGTCTTAAACTCTTAGATTAACTGACATACTTCTATACAAAGTACTTTTGTAAAGTTGATTTGATATTATAAGTAACTGACGAAAATCCCCTTTTTATACGTCACTCATTCTCCAATAAAATTAAAATCGAAATGTTTAGGGCCCTTATAATTCTTCTCAATCATATTAAAAGGCTATAATGTTATTTGTTCATTGCAGTAATGTTTAATTAGAATACCGAATTTGTACAACTTGCACAGTGATTTATGGTAAATTTCAGCTCGTCAGAAAGCAGTAAATATGATTAAATGAATGAACTATCTTATGAAATTAAAGAATTTGCTTTGAATATTTTGAATGATTGTTGGACATCTCCAAGTTGATTGTAGGTTTTTAACTGTTATAGTTTAAGGTTAGGATTCGAGATTAGTTAAAACACATCCTAACTCTAACGCTAACATCAAACACTAACCCTAAACTGGAACTTCAATTCTAATCCTAAATCCATACCTTGAATCCTAATCTTATATCCTGATCCTAACTCTTCAACACCAAACTCTAATTCTAATTCCAACCTAACCTTAAATCAATATTTTCCTGTATCATCAATTCAGTACAACTTTTATTCAATGTAAGAAATGTGAACTCGTTCAGTGTAACAATTATATTCTGTGTATCAATTCAGGTGAACTATATTCAGTGTGGTTTTATTGTAAGCCTATGCATTTCCACCTATATGTGTGTGTAAAAATTAGTATAGAAGTATTTTTGTTTCGGTCACGTAATGATTACGTAATTTTAGGGACTTGTTTGGAGAGTCAAGAAATCTTCATCGCACCAGTCTTCTGTGTTTTAACTTCACGTTATGAGAATTGTAGTGGATCTTGTTTCCTCGGTATAAATAGTAAGGTCGAGGAATTGCAGTGTTTCCCGATTATCACGTAAAGCAGTGAGACTGCGTACTCAACAAAGTGGATACTTACATAGCACAAAAGACTCTCCAAATATAACAGTGGCGACACATCCGACTACCCACTCACAAATGTGCTGATGAATTCATTTATACAGTTATTACAAATCCCAACCTTAGTTCTAACTTTAACAAAAACTGCAATATCATTCCATCTCATAAATCTTTTACACTTACACTTATACACAATCATTTCATTCTTGCGTTCACATTGATGAGTGTTGTCCTCACCAATCCATCGTGTTGTAAGTGCCTGATAATACTTGTCCCCATTAAAAATTAATCATTATACGATCGATAGTCAACATCCTCATCTGATTTTATTTTATAATAATCTCTCTAGATGTCCTGGTTTCCACTGCTAGTCATCATCCATCTCTGCTTGTTAGTTTCGTATTGTTTTGTTTGATTTTTTTCTTTCGTTAGATACACGAATAACCCAAAATGAATCAGTTAATCCACCATTGTTATCTCAAAATGAAATAGCTGATCATTTAGGTGTAACATGTTTGGTAACAACAATGTTTGCTTATCCACGTCAAAAACCAATTAATTTACAGACATTCCTTGGTTTACCAGTGACATCATCATCATCAACAATGAGAAATAGTCATTTGTTGAAATCGTCAGCTGTAAGTGAATTATGCGGATTAACTCTACAATATTGCCATGCAAGACTATGCAGGTATGTATTCGAAAATAAATTTGGTGTAATTGACTAATCTAATGCAAAATATACGATATATTTTCAGTGAAAAGATTAATAGAATAATTACCTCCGAATAGAAAACTAGTAAATAAAAGAGCATGGCTAAACTCAGACGTGACATCGGTGTATGAAGTAGTTGGAGTCCGCATAATAGCTCCAATCAAAGACTGAGCACATTTGTACACTACTCTTGTCATGGGAAAATAGGTCACATGTGTGTTAAGATCTACGTTGGTTATGATTGACTAAATCCATAAAGAAGTTGACAACTGACCTGAGTTTAGTTTTCCTGGTTGGTGTCCGCAGAACTATCATAACAAATGATTACAGACGTTGGATTATGTGACTCAGAATCAGTCTGAATCGCACAAACGTACATCCATTCTTTGTCTTCTCTCATATCTTGAGTTTCAAAATTATATTTTTGACTCCACAAATTCATTCTCTCTTCACGAATCATATTTTCTATGCCTAATATCTTTTCTAATGACATTGTTAATTCTCTACTACTCTCGCATTTTTCTTGATATTTTCATCTTTCTGTGTTGGTATGGTTTAGCAACTGATGTACATATTTGCTCAGGTTCTACACTATTTATAACTAACTGATTGACATAAAACTTCATTGGTGTAATCTCCTTATGTTTGTCTACTTATACCATTTCATATTGCGGACTATTTAATCACTTCTTAATCCGACCATAGAAAGTGGAGTTGTTGTGTTTGTTTACCACTAATCTTGATAGTCCCATCAACACCATACTTCGTTGGTAGCTGACTTGATCTCTCAGGATTCCCTGGAATATTTTAGTCAATCAGTATTACCTTTACTTTTACATACAATAGCAACTCTTATAGAAAAGTGTTAGGATAGTCGGGAAAATATACCAATAACTATCGTGTTAAGTCTACGGTGGCCTTGGACCTTAAATGTACATTTCCCATTGGTCGATGTTTATTTCACTTGTCAAATATTGTGTAAATGTTGTTCTGTATTTTATGGTACGATGTGGTTTGTTTGTTTGGTATATAAATAGAGTCTGTTTGAAATACAATGATTCATAACTCAGAGGCTGTGACTTGTGTTCTGGACTCAGCTGGCTAGGACAGACAGCGAAGCAGGGCCAATCGGGGCACTAGGTCATTCGCTACGTGTTAACGTGTCCACTGTCACAGAAGCGATCGATAAATAAACGCTGCTTAGCATAACCTGCAGTCACACACACGTTACAACAAAAAGTAAGTTTTTATCTAATGATAAAGACCTCTAAATGCTCTGGTACGGCAGAGAGTGGGGAGTGTCAGCTCCTCGAGATGCTCTCACGTGGCCACGCGTACGCAGCCACTGCCAGGGATGTCTTATTTAGTGCCTTCTCGCGGCATTGTTGTTTATGAAATCGAGAGGATGAAAAGCGAATGTTCGGCGCTTTGACCGGGTTTAGTGGATATGCAGGATCCATCTAGGGGAGTTGGAAAACCCTGATTCCATACCAATGGTGCATATGAACTCCAGGGTCCTGATGGAACAAAAGACATCTAGTGTCCGTTACTATGTTAAGCCTACATAACTTATTCTACCTTCAGGATAGGCCAGTTCATCCTTTCTTCTTGAGTCACGTCTTGATTTTGTTAATTATTCACTTATCAACCTTGACTGTTTTTATATGAGCGCACTTTTTATTCTATTCATCCCATGTCTGCAACTTATTTTTATCTGGCTATAAATATTGATTGACGCTTGAATAAATGGAGTTGGCTCACATGCCTTCTCCACCGCGCATCATTTCGTTTTGCTTCGTTCCTTTGATCGTCTACCTGGACCAATGATTGTACAAAATGTATTTATTTGAAATGCATTCTCATACTTATTTAATTCCGTTATTCTCAAAGTGGATGATTATATTCGAGAATAGCCAGGATGTATATTTTGACAACAGCTGTCCATACGATGTAGATGGGGTCAGATATAGGGTCGCTAAAGGCATATGAACCTATAGTTGGTCATCGGTTACCATGAAACTGCATCTCCCAACATTGCTCCACTACCTCGTGGATTCGACTTCTAGTTCAAAGGCTGCGTATGTATATTTGGTGCTTCCTTGTACCAATGTTTGTGTTTAAATGAATAAATAAATGATAATAGACCAAATTAGTCGACTGAACATAGATTATTCTAGAGATACATTCATTTCCAATAATTTAATGAAAGGTGATATTCACTTGATTATTATTATTATTACTTCGACTTCTTTGCCTTTTATTTAAAGCCTAGAATCTCGTTCAATTTCGTCCGGTCTATTCCCATTCAAGGTTAATAGCAGTGATCCAACATCAATTGTGTTTGACATGGATCACCTTATTCATGAATTTGATCAATTTAAAGAGTGGCCTTCAACAACAATTAATGAAAAATCTTTTGTAAAACTGGCTGATCAGTTGTGCAGGTCAGGTTGCTTTTAAATGTTATCTAGTTGATAGTAAAAGCTGACAATGTAAACAATATTATCATTAACTATATTTTAAGTAGTATACCACAAGACTGAATATGATACGTGTGTATGTGATTAGTGGTATTCCTCATTTTCACTTTCGAAAGTCTAACAGCTGTGTAGTTAGGGTCTCTGATACTTTGATTTCATTGTAACAAAACTATGAAGCTGTTAAATTGTTATTACGATGATGATTAATTGATCGCTATAACCTTTGTACGTAGAACCCTTACAAACGCTGATAGGACTTATCTGTTATTCATCATCTCTTCTCAACTGTATTCCTCTTCTCAAACGAACATGATAGCAACAAATCCACAATAAAACTTAATAGTTGTTTGTGCATATACAGTCATCCTATCTATTGTGCTGCTCACTTCGATTCCTTACAACTCACCTTTACATCAGCTAACGTCTCGGTCAAAGTAGGCGATTGTCAGGCATATGTAACACATGTTCCGAATACATCGGTCGATAGAGATTCGCAATATTATCAGCCTATTTTCCATTTCCGTCTACTACCCTATACCTAACCTTAGGATTCCTCAGTTTATCATCCCATGATTCATGCCCAATGATGTGAAGACACTTATAATTAAAGTCCTCTAGCCTACTTAAGCAAACTTGTGGTGGTCGGTATTTGATATAATCCTTAAACTTCGTATACAGCTCGTCGCGATAACCGTTCTATATAACGTACCAACGGTATATTAATCAGAAGGCAAATACGAAGTGTCGATTACGTTTATTGCGAAACCACACACATATATCCAAATGTACAGATGTGTTAAACAAGCATAGAAGAGTTGTGCCGAAAGGCAAGCAAGCGAGCGAGAGCCAGAGCAAGAGCGTGACGAGACCGTGCGAGCGAGTGAGCGATTGTGTTCAATATGAATAAAATGGACATATATATATACCATGTGAAAATGAATGAGTAATCGAATCGAATAAGCGGTTAGTAGTAAGATTAGCAGAATGAATAAATGCGTAGGCAGTAATCAATATTCAGGCATACGTACTTCATACAAGCGCAAAATAATAATAAGGATACAATAAATTGTTATAGCGCGGATGGCTTTGTCCGCTAAATAAGTTAACAAAAAGGGCTTAACTGGGTTAAATGAAAATAAACCCATTAGCACGTGAGTCGCTATAATAGCTCCCCCCTGCAAACAAAGATATATGGAAAATGTCGGTGTTTGCATAAAAAAAAATAGTAGACTGAATAGGGTAGAAAAATGGCTTATACAAAATTAAGATGAAGTTGGTGTGTGCTGTACATTTGGTTTGCGCCCGTCCGTGAGGTTACATAAAATAATAGCAAGAAATGGAAGGAAAGCGGTATTGTCTTTACATTTTAAACAAAAATTATACGCATAAGTGTAAGGGTACATAAGATACGTTGAGTTTTATAACGTATAACATGAGCTTAATAATGCATGTGTATACGATGAGGTGTAGAAGTTATAATTAATATTCCAAATAGTAGATTATTATTAATAGAAAATTGTAGCGACATAATGTTGGGGCCATCTTACTCTACGGCCGGATCTTGTTGTTATCGGAGTCTTGTCTTTTTGTTGCGTTAACGTTGTTGATTTTTGGGACTCGTGTTTCGCTGGTATGACCATCTTAGATGAGTCTGTACTTGTTGATTGATTATCGCTATCGATGAAAGCTGGCTTTACTCGATCGATGCTAATTACATCTGTCTTCCCAGCTTTTTCTATGGTAACCGTTTTATTTGTCCTCTCTATCACTTTAAATGGTCCGTCGTAACTCGGTTGAAGAGGTGGTTGTACTTTATCTCTTCTGATGAATACGTGAGAGCTGTTATGTAGTTCCTGTGGTATGAATACCCGTCGTTGTTGTGGTCTGGGAGGTGTTATTTTTAAATCGCTCATGTGCTTTCTCAGGCGTTGCACATAGCCGGTTACATCAGTCGGGACATTTTTACTTGAAGTGAAAAATTCTCCGGGTAATCGTAGAGTAGTTCCGTAAACTAACTCGGCTGGACAACATCCCATGTCTTGTTTAATTGTTGTTCTTAGAGCTAACATTACTAGGGGAAGTTTATTAGACCAATCGTTGTTAACGATGACGGCTGTAAGGGACGCTTTTAATTGCCTATGTAGGCGTTCAACCATTCCGTTTGCCATTGGATGGTACGACGTCGTTCGGATTCGTTTAGTACCGAGGAGTTTAGTAAGCTGCTGAAAGAGTCGACTTTCGAATTGTGCTCCTCTATCAGTTGTGATAATCGTTGGTACACCGTAGTAAGAAATCCAATTTTCAACTAGGGTTTTAGCTACCGTTTCAGCTGAGGTGTCTTTTATCGGCACTGCTACCGGCCATCGTGTAAACCTATCGATGCATGTAAAGATATAGTTGTATCCATTTGAAACGGGCAGTGGTCCTACAATATCGATGTGTATATGTTCAAATCTATCGTCTGGGTGCGAAAACGGACCTACTGCAGAGCTAGTATGACGATGTACCTTCACTTTTTGGCACTTTATGCATGCTTGTGTCCAATTACGTACATCGTGATTCATGTTTGTCCATACGAATCGTTCACTAATCAGCTTTATCGTGGCTTTTATTCCTGGGTGCGACATGTTGTGCATGCTTTCGAATATTTTGTGCCGCAACGTTTTCGGGATAAATGGTCGCGGTCGGCCTGTTGATGTATCGCAAATTACTTTCGTGTTACCAAACCGCACCTCTTCGAGTAATAATAGTTTATTAGCCCCAAGAATCTTCGTAATTTTCTTTGTGAATCGGGCAACGGATAATTACGAATAGCAGCAACTTCTGTCGGAACTGGCATGATACCATGTGAATTTATCATATGACCTAGGAATTGCAATGATTCCTTTCCAAATTCACACTTTTCCACGTTAATAGTGACGCCATGTTCTTGAAGTCTCGTAAACAACTGTCGTAGATGTTGTAGATGTTCTTCCCTGGTAGAGCTAGCTACTAGTATATCATCGATATATGCGTGAACTCCTGTCAAACCCCTGACGACCTGATCGATGAATCTTTGGAAGGTTTGGGCTGCATTAGTTAATCCGAATGGCATTCGCAAAAACTCGAATAACCCAAATGGAGTAATTATAGCCGTTTTAGATATATCTTCTGTCGCTACGGGAATATGGTAATAAGCTCGAACGAGATCGATTTTCGAAAATATCGTGGCACCTTCCATATTGGTAGTAATGTCGTGGATATGTGGTATCGGATATCTGTCTGCTATCGTTTGCTTGTTAAGGGCTCTATAGTCTCCGCATGGCCTGATTTCCCCATTCTTCTTCGAAACCATATGCAATGGGGACGCCCAGGGACTATTAGAAGGTCTTATGATACCAAGCTTCGTCAACTTTTCGAACTCTCGTTTCGCGACATTCAACCTTTTCGGGTCTAGCCTTCGTGGTCTTGATTTAGTCGGTGGACCTTTCGTTATAATATGGTGCTGTACCGTATGTTTAAGATCTCTGTTATCGTATGATACCTTCGTCAGATCGGCATACTCGTTTAGAAGCGATCTATATGGCTCGTTTTTGTCTTTTGACACTACTAAATTCATGGATGCGTGATCAGTCGTCACTCCTCTTATCACTACTGAATGGTCGCCGTTCACGAGCCGGTTTCGTCGGGTATCCACTAGTAAGTCAAAATTCTTTAAGAAATCAATACCAATTATAGGTACGGATACATCTGCGATAATGAATTCCCAGCGGAATGAGGTAGTACGACCGAAATTCAAGGTTACTTTTCGCTTGCCATGTTTTTATATCGGATTTATTTGCTGCCTTAAGCGTTAGCGCTGTATCGATATTTCGCGTTTCGTTACTTACTGGAGGCACGACGCTTACTTCTGCTCCCGTATCCACTAAGAATTGAGCGCCTGTTACTCTATCCTAAACGTAAAATAAACGACTGTTTCTAGGAGCTGTTGTAGTTGTTGCGGCGTTTATCGACAATCGGTGTGTTCGTTTGAATTTACATGGTGATCTACAGTTTCGAGCTTTATCGCCGAAAGTTTGATGGTACCAACATATTGTAGGAGCTGAGCGTCTCCTAGAACGTGATCGACTTCTTTCCCTCGATCTACTTCGTGACCATCCTCTTTGCGTATCGCTCTGATTTAGTTTCATCAGCTTGTGGCATAAAACATTAATCTCCTTTTGTAATGCATCGATTCGTCCATCTATTGTGGTACTATGCCCTTGCGGACTCGTTTGTTTCATTCTTTCATAAATCCTATCGGCTATTTTAGCAATGTTGTCTATATCGACATCGTTGTCCTCAACCGCAAGGATCTGCTGCACGTTCGCTGGGAGTCGTCGTAACCACAACTGATAAGATATGTTTTTATCTACTTTTCTGTCTCCGATTACGCTTCTCATATAGTTTTTTAACTGCGATGGAGTCTTATCTCCTATCTGCACTTGACTGAGAAGCTGTTCGATGGCTTGCCGGTCGCTTAATGAGACGGCTTTAATCACTGCCTGTTTTAATGCGTCGTATGGCTTTTCTATGTCTGGCTTGATTAAAATCTCTCGTACATTATCTGCTACTTCATCTGGAAGTAGCGAGCTCGCGTGGCCAAATTTATCTCGCTGTGTATGAACACGATTAGCCACAAAGTAATGTTCAAGTCTGGTAAACCAAAGTTGAGGATCTGTGACCTTGAAGGAAGGAATAGTTACATTAATGGACCTCACGGACGGCGTTTGGGAAAGTCCTATTGTATCGTTGCTTAAAGACATATTCATAAAGATAAAAAAATTACACAAATATAATGCGAATGTCACAGAGAAAAGTGAGTCGATAAAAACAATGATAAAAACAAATGGTACAATTTATAACAAAGAACGGACTTACTAAATTGCACCAAAATATCAATTGTTTGTAAAAATATCGTTGTTTATTATGAATATTATTGTTATGTTCTATAATGTTTGTGAGATAATGTACGTATAATTAAAATAATGAGATAATAAATCCACAGTTATAATTATAATCCAAATGATAGTTACAATTGTAGTCGAATACGTTGGACTTTAGGAATTGGATTACGTCGTTGAAGATTGTTTCGTGTTCGCGCGTCGGGATCGCCAATTATGTGGTGGTCGGTATTTGATATAATCCTTAAACTTCGTATACAGCTCGTCGCGATAACCGTTCTATATAACGTACCAACGGTATATTAATCAGAAGGCAAATACGAAGTGTCGATTACGTTTATTGCGAAACCACACACATATATCCAAATGTACAGATGTGTTAAACAAGCATAGAAGAGTTGTGCCGAAAGGCAAGCAAGCGAGCGAGAGCCAGAGCAAGAGCGTGACGAGACCGTGCGAGCGAGTGAGCGATTGTGTTCAATATGAATAAAATGGACATATATATATACCATGTGAAAATGAATGAGTAATCGAATCGAATAAGCGGTTAGTAGTAAGATTAGCAGAATGAATAAATGCGTAGGCAGTAATCAATATTCAGGCATACGTACTTCATACAAGCGCAAAATAATAATAAGGATACAATAAATTGTTATAGCGCGGATGGCTTTGTCCGCTAAATAAGTTAACAAAAACGGCTAAACTGGGTTAAATGAAAATAAACCCATTAGCACGTGAGTCGCTATAAACTAATGGACTGAAGATTCTAGGGCAGATTCAAATATCCATCAGTTCTTTGTGATTTACTAGGTTAATTGTTTGACTAGATACTATTCATTTTAATTTGTATTATCACCTATCCTTTATTGATAGATTTTCTACTGTGCTTCGTACTGCTTATTCAAAATACGAGCCACATTACGTACTACAATATGCATTACAACTTACGTAAGTCTCCTATATCTCATACGTCAAAATATATCTATTTTTTAAAGTATATTTTAAAATAGATAGAATGAGTGGAATGTGGTTAGCAGTAGACCCTAGGACGTGCGTTTCTACCTGTCTGAGAATGGTCATTTGGACACCTGCATACCAATGTTGATGCTTACCCAGGACTTAAAACCAATACATTTCGTTTGGAACGTCAACGCGTTACCCAGTTCGCGGTGTTTATGTTGTTCGACAGCTAAAGGCCGTCAACATATGTGTCAGGTTCTGTGTTATTTATGGCCAATTGACTGACTGAATATTCTGTTATATAAATACGGTAAAATCTTTCAAGCAAAAGACCGTTTGATTTTGCTTTGTGTACACTATCGGGGTAATATAGTAGGTTCGTCTAACCCATAGAGTTGTCCGCTTCATTCAGTGTGCATGAAAAATTTATCAATGATCAGCTTTTTTATCAACAACAATTCCTTTTATTTATGAGTTACATACTTTGTAAACTGGTCTCAGTTGGGTTATCATTGAAAATCATAGAGACTGGATGACTTTTTAGTCTTAGTATGAGACTTCTTAACAGCGTGAACCTATAGCCCCATTAGTTGTCTAACATATACTAAGATAAAACACATGTCTATTTCTCCCTGATTTTCAACAATACTATAATAAAGGCTAGTCTGTGACGAATACAACCTGTAATTTTAACTAATCTTCACAAACCTCCTTCAACTAAAGTTTGTTTACTGTTTTTGTCCATATTCCATACCATTTTTCTACAGCTCTGATGTAAACTCAGCTTGGAAGCATTTACCAGTTTTGGCATGCACAACTAAAGAAGATCAACTAGTAAGTGTGATCGATATCTGTTTAATTCTTCTTTTGCTATGTTCTTTACTCCCCCTCTAATAGAACTGTTTTAGAACTAAGGAAACAATTAACTTGGTATAAAAAACATTAGTGACGTAACAGAGCTCGTTAAATTGTGACAATTTTCTCATGAAATTAAAAACTAAGCCATCAAATGAATAAATTTCTGCGGACAAAACCCCTAATCAGTTGGCCAAATATATGTAGGTTATATTTGTCACAGATTGTTTTCACATAGAGTATTACTGAAAATCAGGAAATACTAAACATCTTTTTCGTCACAGTTAGGAACTTTTCATCAGTACATATCCACTACTCTTTCACAGATCAAATCCAGAACTTTCACTTCTCGTAGCGAAATATTAACCATTAGGTTGGCGTCCAACGTTACACTTTCAACTTCAATCAATTCGTGATAAAGCGGGACAATCAATCAATAACATTTTTGACAACTGTTTGGTCTTCATATAAGTCTGAACCTGTACTAGTCATCATCAAACATAACTTAATATCAGTATAGGGTTGTGGAGATTGTTTACTTCAGATTGATATCATAAATCGATCAATGTTAGACCACCACCATTGAAAACGTGGAAGCTCTGGATGGCCGTTTCGTCCTAGTACAGGACTGGTGAGCAGTGCACATCCACGATCCAGGACTTTCGGTCCCTGGCGCGAACACTGAACTGACATCTAACGGTCTTAATGTCTAACTTCCACCAATCCACTATATTACGCGACCGTCCATCATTATCGTCAATAAGTAACTGTCTCAAAACAGATACAGTTGAACTACACTGGTCACAGATTCTCATTAAACCTCCAGGAAATCCATCTTGAAGCTAGTCACTAGTGAGTACATGATAATTTAATAGTAAAATAATCGACTAGAATAAAATAACTTGTTAAAATGTTATCAAAAGGATAGAAATGAACATCAATAGAATAATCAATTTAATTCTTCTTTATTGTTAGACAAATCATTAAATTTTGGTAATCAGCAGAGAAATCTATAATACTGGTAGTTCATTTCATCTTGTATGAAATTAGTCCATTTCGTTCACATACTGTTTACTATGTTGATCGAATACTTAAGATTGTAGCAACGGTAGAACGTCACTATTGAAACAAATCGAACAAAACTTACATTGGTACACTGCCTCATAGTAATTCTGTTCAATCGGTTCAAAGTCATAGTCTGTAAGAGTTAGAAAATATCCAGTGCTTATGCATACTTACTCAAATTCATATTCATTATATGATTGACATATTTATATTTATTTAAACACAAAAACATTGATACAAGGAGGCACCAAGTAGATATGCGCCACATAAATCATTCGATTTGTGTGATGTTCGCAAGCCGAAGCAGGTGGTTTTCTTAGGGGAGATCACACTTGGAGCCTTCAACCTAAAGGTCCGATCCACAAGACAGTAGAGCAACGTAAAGAGATACAGTCCCATGGTAGCCGGTGGTCAACAATTGGTTCATACTTCATTTGTTCCCTAAGGATCCTGGAACCCATGTGACCATTGGTTTGGAATTAGGGTTTTCCAAATTCCCTTGGTGAATCATCCATATCCACCAACCCGATTAAAGTGCCGGACACTTGTTTATTTCGCAAACAGTAATGCCGCGAATAGGCAGTGAGTAGGACAGTGGGTGTATGCACGTGGCCATGTGAGAGGATTTCGTGAGGGAGAGCTGACTCTCCCCACTTTCTACCGTACCAGGACATTTGGGGGCATGATTGACATATTAATCAAAGCGATGCTGTAACTAGTCGCATATACTCATTTATGAATGTATAAATAGTATTTAGATCACTTCAGAAAATATTTTATTATTAAAAATAGCTAAATTCCTGATCAACCATTAAAGTAACAACTGAAATACAAAATTTTTTAATGATCTACTGACGTTAATAGTTCCAACACTCCTCTTCATTTGCTTCAGTTTTAACAACCAGTAAGTATCATTATCTCTCATGTATCTCAGAAAGCCACAAATATATTAATCGTGTACTTAAGTTACATGATGAGATTCTTTTTCATTGTCATAACAGTAATTCGTCACACTAAGGTGATTTTTTAGAGTATTCTGAACAGTACGAATATTTTTTGCTAACCATAATATCATATATGTGGAAAAAGGTAATGATATCTGAAACATAATTTTTTGATTGAGATCATGAACCGATTGATGTTAGACCACCACCTTTGGAAACCTGGAAGCACTAAACGGCCGTTTCGTCCTATTGTGGGACTCCTCAGCAGTGCGCATCCACGATCCCGCACGCGGGATACTATGAGCTTAGTCGTATAAGTATTGAAATTAGATGTTGTGAATAATTTCGCAATATGTGAAGGATTTAATATGATTCTAAGATAAAAATGGTATTTATATTTGAAAACATCTGTAACCGCCTATCATTTGATATAACAATACAAACTAACCAATTAATAACTGGTTGATTATGTATAAAATGTAGGATGGGGTTGTTTAATATCGCTTTCAATGTTCAATAATTGTATTGTATCTAGCGCTGTTGACCATTTTTTCTTAGATTTAGTGAATGTGTATGCTGAATATTTTCACTAAATGTTTCAAGCATTTGAAACTATGAACATGTCAGTGTTGTGCAACTCAACATACTGGATGAAAAGCATAAATAAAGTTAAGGGTTGAAGTGAAATCTTCAGTTAAAATGACTCTTTCTTATGTATCAGTTGATCGACTAAAAGAACAGAAAGAGATAACACATCAATTAAGTATTTAAATCATTTTGAGAACAGCCTTAACTTCAATGACCTATTTGTCTTCCTTAAATAAGTGTAATAGATTGTTCTAATTTGTAGTTTGCTTTGTTAAATTATAATTAACTTTGATTCTTTTCATTATATATATACTTACTTTACTTACGCCTGTTACTCCTCGTGGAGGAGCATAGGCCTCCCACCAGCACTCATTATATATATATATATATCTTGTCTTTATCTACTTCTTCAGATACGTCTGTTCATCTTTCTAGCGTCTAGAAATGTACTTGCTTCATGTTTACGTTTAATGGGAATCAAACCGTTGAGTGCGATATAACAGTGATTATTATGATTATGATTATGAAAAACGAATCCTTTCATGCTTGAGTTCATATATCAGTGTATAATACAGATTGATTAAACAAAATCCACTCTTTTTCTTTACTTACATTTTTCCCTTTTCTATGTACAATTATCATTTATTGTTAAAAAATAAATTATTTTCGTCAATTGTATGTATTTTACTAGGTGTCATTGGACTTTTACCAAACAACTGGGGTCAACAGACTACTTATGGTACACTACAGAATTCTCAGCACAAATTATTTCAACATGTTTCTTTTTCTTATTTCTTGATCGATCCTTGCGATAAATATTGAGTGGTTGCCAGTTAAATGTTAGCAGTTCAAGACTCGATATCTGAATATTGTATATTCTTTACGATGTATATTGCCAGCAACCACGTTGTCTCTGATTGGGCTCTTTTGTAACTTGTGTAGTGAAATGTGCGTAAACTTTAGACAAACGCACCTGAATAGGTTGTGAGATTGATAGGCGTAATGATGTGTCAAAACAAACAAATGAAAATATAACTTGTTGAAATATCCAGGTGGCAGGAACAGGTAGCCCAGGCGGTTTTCATTTGCACACTGCGAAACTATCATCTAGAGGTCCCTGAAAAGGAAACTGGGCTAGTAGTATTCCTGACGAACCGTAAGCGTGTCTACTGAGTGCAAGAAGCAACTCTCTAGGGTAGGTCATACACAATATTTTCGTGAGCAACTGATGTATTATCTTCGTTCCTTAAAGGTCTTACCTCTAAAGATAGAAATCTGTCATTCAAGGTAAAGTGTATTATATTTAGAAATCGTGTTTTCTAACCTTTTTCTGTTGTGGAAAAGTATCATCGGTGTAGATGAAGGTTGTATACTATAGTCACGACCCACTACAGTCAGCAGTACCATTTCACTCTCGGACCTTGATTTACTGCTTTCAGTCTTGCTGTATGGCAATGCCTAAAGGAACAATCGTTATACTCAACATAGTTCAAATAAGTCATTAAGATAACCATGCTTGATTATTAAATACTATCTGATTGTCTGATTCTCATTGTTGTGTTCAATTTTATTACCAACAAATTTTGAATGAATGAATTTAAGCATTGTATTCTTTATAAGTTGGTTAACTGAATGCCATTTTAATTTTTAGCATTTTCCATTACATAACGCAATAATAAACTGAGAATTTTCGCTTCCGGCTACATCCATCGAATATATTAAACCAAATATTGATCATAATATCCTGTAATTAATCTCATAGTTTCTTATTCGTCTGGTTTGTACAATTGTCATTGCTTGATGTATAGCTGAATGATATACTGCATAGTTGATAGTTGAACGAATTAAGCATTTGACTTTCAACAACGTTGTTATGTACTCCAACCCTTGCCTACTTTAATACTCACACAATTAAGCAATCAGTCAATATGTAGTGAACGGAAACATAGATGGGGACTAACAAATGTATTTTAATAAAATTACAGAGTTATTTTCTAAAATATAGAAACCATACGTTTAATCCGTTATTTGAAAATTTTCCATTAATTGTCTCAGACTTTATTGTTCCTTCATTTCTACACCTATTACTATCTGTTCCCATGGTCTTTTGTTTGATGTTCCCAACCTTCTACTGCCAAGTTTTCCACTTCCCATTGGTGTTACATGCTACTTATATCTGTCGACATACATATATAGTTAAGTTTAATTATAGTGGCAAACCAGTCAGGAGCGACTCAGCCATTTCAAGGTTACGGGGCACTTTACCAGCCACATCACTAATTTTAGTGAAAAACACTTATTAAGCTTATTACTTAACGTTAGATTATTGAGGAATTCACTGACGTGTGATTGTGAATGTTAACAAGTTGTAAGAAAATACAAAACACTATGGAATGAAGTGAAATTTCATTGGGATATCTATTTATAAAAACACGTGCGTAGGAAAAAAGTCTTTTTTCTCGTCTATAGTCAAGACTTGAACGAGTAATGCTTCTTATAATGCCCTGAGCGATAGGATCCAAATTACTTCCCATAGCTGCCTTGATAAATATGTAAGAACGAATTTTGCAGCTTATCTTTGAACAATCGGATTTCATAGTGTATAGCTTTGTGTAGCAATTATTAATTTCCTCTGAAACTCTAACAGTTATAATAAGATTATATAATTACAATATGAAAGGCATTTAACATGATCTAGTGTATTGTTTATAATAATTCAAATACTCTCAAAGAACGATACAATCGATGTCATATGGATAAACATCTTTATCAAAGGATTTTTCGATAGTACAACAGGCGAAACTGTAGTCAACTTCATAAAGATTCTATAAATTCTTTCATTTTTAAAAATGTAGACTATTTATTTTATGTTAACGTTTTCTGATTGATTAAATTCTTTTTATTGTCATTTTAAAAATTCTGTCAACTTTTGAACTACAATTAGTCTTTTGTTAAAATTCATTGGGTGGTGACCGATGTCATGTATGTCAGGTCTTTCTTAGTGCAGATCGAATCCTTGTTGACCAAGTTGCAATGTGGCCATCAGTCTAGGTGACTCGACATTGCATGCACTATAATGAGATAAGATGGTGGTCGGAGATAGTCAAAACAAACTCTGGACCCAGGCTCCGTTCTACTTGGCACTCGTCAGTAAGTTGTACCTGTAATCTTGAGAGAACTGATGCTCCCTGACGAATCTACCCAGCTTCATAGTCAGAGACATTACCACTGGGCTATCCAGGCCGCGACTGAGCACCTGTAGGACTGAAATATATTTACAAGCTAGGTGACACGGGATCGAATCCAAGTAGCACGAAACTTGGATCCAGGATTTCCTGTTGACTATCTCCAACCACCATCTTATCTCAAAAGTTATCTCTTTACTCATTGTTAATCGACAGTTCAATTCGGTTCATGTATAATATAACCATAATTTATGTCTATTCACATACACACACATGTACATAGCCAATCAAAAAAGTGTGGTTTCATTGTAAAAAAAACGTCTGTCTTACTTTCCATTTGTTTGGCTTGTTTGTTTTCAGAATTATATCTTAAGTTCCTGAAAAAAACCACCGAAAAATCCTTCCTTCTCATATAGTTTAGTTATTTTCATTTAGACTAATCTCGCTTCGTCATTATGGTTCGGTTCTTTCTCGTTTAACATATCAAATTCTATGTTTCTATTAATTGTTAAACAAATAACGGAGAATGAATAAGGAAAGACTTGTTAGCCAAGAGAATGTGGGAAAGAGTATGAAACAAGTACTAAATAAAAAGACGACATTTTACGTCTCAAACAAAAAAAAACAATAAGCGGTTTATCTAATCATCTTACTTCTAACTGACTTTTTATGATTCATATCTTGTTGTCAATGCTATTACTGCTACTAGTAATACTACTATTATTATTATTGATACCAATAGTTAGTTGATTCATGACTAAAAGTCTACTACGATTAATACTTTCGTCAAAATAAATAAAAATAGATCTTGAAAAGTTGAATTCATGAGTTGATCTAAGCTAGACCACCATTGAAAACCTAGAAGCAATGGACAAACGTTTCATCATATTATGGGAATCGGCAGTGAACATCCATGATCCCGCATGCGGGACTCAAACTCAAGATCTTTGGACTTACGCGCGAACACTTAACCTCTAGACCACTGAGCCAGTATCCAATGGTGTTAATGTCTAACTTCAATTCACTCATGAATGGTTGCGCAACCATTTATCTATTGTCTGAGGTAAATACCTGTCTCTACTCGACACGAATTGAACTTCATTGGTCACAGCTTCTCACTAGAACTCTAGTGCTTCCAGGTTTTCAGTAGTGGTCCAGCTTGCATCGACTCATGAATTTAACTATTAAAATTTATCAACCAATCAGGAAAATTATTCACAAACATAGGAACAAAAATCAAACAAATGGGAGATTCAACCAAAACAAAGAAATAAACAATGACAGGTTTAAGGTCAACAAGAACCAATCAACTTCGAGGTCTACAAGACAAGCTGTGAACCACATGTAGAGAGTTTCGAACACTTCACTTCTATCTGAAGTTTGTGCTGATGATGTCGTTCAGAAGAACGATGAAAGTTCCACGACCAAAACATCCAGCTCAGAGAACAAAATCATCCACCTAAGCTACAAATCTTCTCCACTATCTGAAAATCACTACCATTTTCACAAACCCCATTCTGATCATAAAAAATAAATCTGTCAAATGATAATTGGTGTCTAATGTTGATGACTACTATCTTTACAATATGATAATTAATTTCAAGAAAGAAATTGTCACCAGGATTTATTTCTTATTTGCAATCTGCCTCTACACAAATATGTGCACACACGCACATACATGCACATGTACAACAATTACACCATCTTTATTCTGATTTACTGATTTCCCATTGATATTAATTTGAATCTATCTATTTTTGTATGTATGATTAGAAAAGAGGTTAAGGTGAGAATGGTGGGGTGTTTAATGTGTCAAATTACAATAATCAGTGTACAGTTTGACCAACCAACCAACCAATCAATAAAAAGAAAAGAAGAAGTAGTAAACAGGTTATCATGGAAACAATACAAAAAGAGAAAGCGATGTCAATGACATACCAAGAAATCTTCTAAAAATGTTTATGAAAAACAAAATGTTATTTTTTTTATATATTTTAATCTATCCTACTTTGAAATTTGTTTTACTATTTCTAATGAGATTTTGTTTATTTTTGTTTTAAACAAAAACCTAAATAAAATAAAAATAAAAATTGATTTGTTTGTTTGTTTGTTTTTCAGCGGGGCGAGATGGGGGGTTAGTGTTTTAAAATGATGAATATTCTCATTATTAAAGTTGTTTATTTTTTTTATTGGTTTAAGCATATGTAAGTATGTTTTGTCTTTCTTCTTTTTTATTTTTTGTTACCATGGGACGAACACACTCGGTTACATAATCGGTTGTATTGAATAAAAATATTTATATTATGTGATAGAGATTTGATTGGGGAATCACTATTATTCATTTGATTAATAATGAGAATAATAATAATAGTTGTAATAGTAGTAACTCTATGATTAAGGCATAGAAATGCACTATTCTCAGAATGTCTATTAAGTGCTTTCAAATGTTTATGAAAGTATATCGAAACAATATATGTATGTATATGTATTAGGCACTTTTATATTCGTTTTTCTTAGGCTTCATATTCATAGATTAAATCAGATGATGTCTCAGAAACATTTTGATCATCTGATCTAATTTGTAAATGACTACTTTTGTCTCTATCAGTTACATATTTTGGTTTATATTGATGATGATGATGATGACGATGATGATGTTGTTGTTGATGCTTTGGAGAAGAATGTGGAGAAATTGATTTCGTCGGTGATAATGATGAATGGCTAATAGTTCGATGTCCGTAAGGTTCAGATTGATAAACTGTAATCTTGATTGGTTCTTCATGTGTACTACAAGCATTTTGTGATGTATCTGTTTCAGATATGGAAGTTGAATTATTGACTGGTGAATCTAAAATTTAATAAAATGAATAGATTATTCAATATGAATTAAGATATTTAGCTTCGTTACACATTTCTATTTTAAGGAACGAGTTACGTTAGTAAATTACTGAAGATTGTTGTCCTTGATTAAGCATTGAAAGAACTGATACATTTCTTTTGTTTTTTACAGGTCTCTGATATAAATATAAGACAGTGGTTGGCAGTGGGATTTAAAACGAACAGCAAGTTCAATGTGTTTGTATTCCAATGTCAATACCTCCGATTTTACCTGAAAATAAAACTCTACTTTTCAAACCTCAGTGTACTACTTAATGAGCAATTAAGAGACTCTACCTAAATACCTACCTTTTCAACAGGTTCGAAACATTTGTGTGTAAAGGGTTTCTGAAGATGATTCTGTTTCGTAATTCACATCAAGGACTGACCATAGATAAATGATGATTGGAAATCAGAAAGCACTAAATAGCAGTTTCACCCATGTTACGGGACTTTTTCCAGAGTTCTAATAAGAAGTTGTGCTAAGTAGAGTTTATCTATATTGAGTGTGAGGCAGCTACTAAGCAATGGTCTTGGAAGATGACTGAGCAACGTAAAAAATCGACCAATGTCAAATGTATAAATCACCAAATATGAAGGTTAGGCACTTTTCAAGAGGCCTGAAAATCGTAGGTTCGATCCGCCCGAGGGTAGTGTATGAGTATTACTAAGTTTGTCTTATACTAAGATGAAGTAGCTGTCCAGTGATTTATGGCTTCTGATGACTATCAAACTAAGGCTAGTTCGTATTTTACATGATGGGGTTATGATATTTGTAACCAGTTGCTTGAGTTCTTTGTCCTGATGGAGTTCATTATTAAAATTCTAATTAATGTGTAAATCCAGACAGTACTAAATTCTATGTCCAAAAGACGTCGAATGTTACCAAGTATTGATGAAATCCAACCTTGAATATCAACAACAAGAAACCACAAACGGTATACCATGATGGCGATAATAAAAAACTAGTTGATGTTGATCACGTTTAGTAGAAGACAAATTTTGCATACAACATTTTGACTAGCTAATTAACAAAATTTACTGATAATCAGAAATCACTATCTATCTGGTCCTACTGTAAATGCTAAACCAAACCTACTTTCTGAGTTTTCCATATCTGTTTCATCCTCTCCCTTTAACAACTCTAAACTATTTTTCGAATCTGTCCTGGACAAAGTTGTTTCGTCTCCGTTATCATCATCATCCACATGGTCAGTAGCTACGATAAGATTCGTTCTTCTTGATTTTTTTGTTTTCTCACAATCACCTTCTCTTTCCTCAGTGGATCCTTCATCCTCTTCTTCTTCTTCTTCATCGTCATCATTATTCTCTTTGTGATATTTATATCTTTCTATATTTGTACGAATATTATCAACTGTTGAAGTGTTCGATCCATACATTAACATATTTCTTTGAAAATCATTTAAACCATAAATTTGTTTATTACATGACAACTTGTCATCAGTCAATAAAACATTCTGTATCCCAACTGATGGATAAAGAATTTGATGATGGTGATGATGATGATGTGGTGACTGTGAATGATGATGCTGATGATGTAAGTGTTGATAGTTAGGATTTAAAAGTACATGTGAATGTTCACTGCCACTATAAGGATTACTACTAATACTACTCTTATCACTACTACTACTACTATTATTATTAGTAGTAGTAGTAGTATTAGTAATAGTAATCGTAGTAGTAGTAAGATGTGATGTTACTGTGTTATTAAAATTATTCTCATTATGAATAGGAGTTGCATGTCTAGATAATTTATTCACATTACTAACTACATTGTTATTATTATTATCATTATTTGATGTAACATTGGATGATATGAACGAATTGATAATACGTGGACGTTTAGCTTGTGGTGGTCGATAATCTTTAGATGATGTAATTAATTGTCCTGTACAAGTTGTTGAACATGTAACAATATTGATTAATCCAACTCCACTGGTTAATGTTGTCGATGTGATAGGAATAATTTGTTTAGCATTACATAACATTCTATGATGATAATTTGTTAATTGATTGTTTAATAATTCACTATTATTATGTAATCCATTAACATCAGGCATACTGACATATGTATCAGATCTTTTTATACGATATAAATGTTCTTGACTATTACTAATAGAATATAATTGACATTTTGGTATAGATGATAGTTGTGATGGTTTGAAATGAGGTAAATTTTGTATTTTATACATGGATGGTGATTGATTATCTTGTTGACAATATATATGTACATTATTATTATTATAACGTAAACCACCACCCCATGATTGTGTACGATTAATGGTATTGTTTATATTAGGTATTCTTTGTTTCAAATCATGATCAGTTGGTGATAAATGTGTATTAGTTAATATAGGTAATTCTTTATCTATTTTAGGATAAATATTAGTTGCAATCCAATTTCCACGATTCTGTGGACTAGACAATACAGAATGTGATTCTATTCAGAAGGAAAGAAAGAAGAGGTTTTTAATCCTGAATAAACGTCCATTAAAATATAGTACGTTATTGTTATGAGCATGAAAAATTGAAGGATACTCGGTAACTATATCATGTTGTAAATAGCAAATGAAAATCAAGGAGTGATTATATAGAATGTTTACTTTTATTTTCTGGATTATTAAATTACGGGTATCTTCGGAGACCTACTAATGGACTAATATAATCTATATATTCTTATTGTTTAACTATTCTGTAGCTAGATTATATATATCTATATTCCACTTATTATAAGCTTCATTTTGACTTATAGATTGTTATTGTACGATTTACTATTCTTAAGTTATACTCAGTTATTTGATTACCGTCTCCCATGTTCACGGCAACTTTTCGGCTTTATTGTGTGTAAATGTTATTTACTATTTTATGGTGCGTTGCGGTCTGTTTGGTTGGTATATAAACCCAGTATGTCTGAAATAAATGATTTGCATAGTGGAGGCTGTTGTTGGCATTCTGGATTCAACTGGACGGGCTAGGAGAACAACAGGGCCAATAGGACGATATACTGATCAGATCGAATGAACTTCATTGGTTTAGTACAGTATAAAGGTGAATAAGTCGTATTTTGATTGGCAAATACATTAAGTGATAACTATTGGGTCATAAAGACACAACAGACTGAATATTCATTATAAAGTTACAACTCACTGTTCAGTGTTTTCAGATCCTAATCTGTGATACTTACCAACTGATAAGTTACTTTAATACCTCCAACTTTTCTCCATCACTTTCTGAACTAGACTATTAACAATTACACATAAAATCTGAACCTCAGAGAGTACATAGTTATTTTCTATATAGGTATATTGAATTTCATTTATTATAAGTTGTTCAACCTTCTGTTGTATTGTTATGATATAATAGGCTATTTGAGTATAGACATGTCACGCAATTGTGCTAACAACCACCTCAAGTTCAAACGGGAAGTGAGAAATTATGAACTAGTCACTATATTGACTTATAATCAAAGTCTCCGCCTAGATGTCTTTATCTGTCTTAGAAGCATAATAGTATAAGACCCTATGATTTATTGACAAGACTATAATTAATGAACGAACTAATGAGATTTAAGATAAAAAGTCTTGGTTTTTGACGTGAAATTCATTGATCCATATGACTAAATAGTTTATGATGAAAACCCTAATGCCTAACTATAAATCCTAACACTAGGTCCTCAGATTAATTTGTGTTATATCTTGAAAAACAGATTTTCTGGATAAACCGCGTATAACAGAGCACTAGAACACCAAAACCCTTCCAAGTCGCAATAAGAAGACAGAAGACTAACGAAAGGAATATTATTCCAAACAGCCTCAATCATAGTACAAAATTGTCAGGTATTTATAGTTTTTAGTGAGAACGAAATCATCATTACAGTGTTCCAATCCGCATACAGGGGGTTATTAGCATTATCCAATCGGGAAGCTACATGTTGGTATTCTAGAATATTCTTCCGAAAGGTGATTGGATGAGACGTCTTCGGCTCCTTCTGAGCCTCTTACAGCTTCCTCGAGTTCACCGGTGGTCCGTCATCACAATTTGTAACCCTCTTTTAACCCTAATAAGCAGGTGAATATTCTTAAGATCAATTTACCATCACTCAAAGGTTATCCGTAAATTGTAATCTTACTGATTTATTTATACTACAAGTTGATTTACTAACCAAACATCACCACTTAATTGTCTTCCTAATTAGATCATGAGTTGGTGTACATTAGGACGTTCAAATTGTAACTAAATTGAACTGTAGAATAAAACATAATGTTCCAGTTGGCACTATTTCATATGGAAATATACTATCAAATTATCTTAAATGTTGTACTGCTTATACAATGTCAAAATAATCAAGTCATATATAAATCTATTTTCATCATGTTAAACTTTGAAGATAGATTTTTAATGCAGGATTAATGCTAGATCATGTACATTTTGATCTTTTCTGAATAGTAACATCTATCAGTCAAGTCTAGAATGCAATCACTTAGAGGGGGATATGATTTAGTAATAATGAGAATAAAAGATTAAGTAATAATTTGAATGCCTGCATGTTGTTGATCGAACTAGATTTGCTTTAAATTCCAATAAATGTATTCCATTAATAGTGTGTTTCATGAATGATATCTATATTAGGTCTGAAGATCGTTTCATAAAGCACTGGTTCTTTTAATCTATAACTCCGAAGTTGTAAGTATCAACCTAGAATTGAATACCAAGGGTATTCAAACCTCATAAGCAAAACAAAATCTTCATAGGATTGAGTTAAAATTTAATGATCCATATTTCTAACTCCTGTTTTCATAAACAACTAATTATCCGCTATTGTTTATGGTATAATGAAGAAGAAACAATTTCATTGTTCAGTCAACTGATGTGATGTATCTTACTTATATCTGTTGACATAAATAGTATGCAACACCAATCAGAAGTAGAAAACCTGCCAACAGAAGTTTATAAAGATCGAATTGAAGAAAACAGAAACGGAAATAGAAAAAAATGGTGACTTGGAAGTATCATATAGAATGTGAAGGACAAATAATAGAAATTTGCAAATGAAGTATTCAATGTATGGTTTTCATAGTTTACCAGGTTATTCAATAATGGATTTGTCATCCTCATCTGACTGCACATTTGATACACTAACAGTAGACTCTAGATCTAGGGATAATGACACATGGTTACCTATTACCTTCAAATTAATTGTCTTGCCATTTGAAGAAGAACTAAATTTAACGAAATAGAAAGTGTAGTTAAAGTGGTATTAAAATAGTCTTATGTTTAGTTTATCTGGATATATCTGTCTACAATCAACTACTAATCAAAAGTCTGATCAAAAATAACAATTCAACTAAGTTCAACTGTTGAATTCATAAGTCGATCCAGGACAGACCATTATTGAAAACCTAGAAACACTAGACAACCGTTTCATCCCAGTATGAGACTCCCCGACAGTGCGCATCCGCTATCCCGCAAGAAAGGGGCTCGAACTCCGGACGCTAGTCACTAGCGACTAGCCTTAAAACAAATTTTCTAGAGCTCTAATGAGAAGCTGTTACCAGTAGAGTCCAATTGGTGTTGGGTGTGAGACAGTTATCCAGCTCAAATAATGGCTGAAAATCTGTGGAAAATCATGGATCGATTGAAGTTAGACATTAATACCACTGGATACCAGCTCAGTGGTCTAGAGATTAAGCGTTCGCGTGTAAGTCCGAAGGTCCTGAGTTCTAGTTCCATGCACGAGATCGCGGTTGAACGTTGCTCACCAGTTCTACACTATGACAAAACGGTTGTCCAGTGCTTTCAAGCTTTCAATAGTGTTCTTGCTTAGATTGACTCATGAATTCAACTGTTTAAGTTGCTACAATCTCTACAAGTCTTTACTCCGTGTTTCATTTTAGTTTATTTGATAGTTTTAACAAAAACAAAATGTTCATGATTACTAAACAAATTCTTCTACCTTTTTTATTTCCACTTCTTTTAGATTGTTCTTGTTGTTGTTGTTGTTGTTGTTCAATAGTTCGTTTTTGTACAAATGTATTTAAATTATGCTTATTCCTATCATAAACATCAGTTTGTTCATAAGATGTAATTGGATAGGATCCATAAGTATGTGTTAATGATGTTGGTTGAGTTGATTTATCACGTAAAATATTTGTCATTGTCCTGATTGAATTCATTGTTGTATTAGGTAAATTAATTGATTCATTCATTGAATTATTTACACTAACAATACTACTCTTAATATTATTAGTAGTATTATTATTATTATTAAAATTTTGAAACTGAACACATTCCATAGGTTCTTTCTCAGTTGAACATTGTTTAATAGGAGTAAACTTTTTATTTGATAATTTTCCGCTAGTATTATTATTATTATTATTATGGTTACCTTTAGTTTTAATAAATGAATATTTAATAAGATTTTTATTTGAATTCATTTGACCTGGTGATGATGATGATTTCATATTTTCAACATTACGTTGCCATAGCAATGGTGCATTAATACTATCAGTACTATTCCAAATCATTGTAGTATTACGACTGCCAGATTTTTTCATAGATTTCAATTCATGCATCATTATTGATTGATTATTGTTATTATTATTACTATTATTAGTAGCGTTATTTAAATATTGAATCTCTTGTGTTAAACTTGAATTAGATAAAGTGAATATTGGTTTCTTTTTATAGTTATTATTATTATTATTATAATCCTTTTTCAAATGATTATTTCCTTCTAGTAGTGCACCAGTAGACATAACATGATTTAATCTTTGTAGACGTCTATCATCAAATTTACTTGATTGTATCGTTTGTTCATCTTCTTTAGATTTGATCATTTGTCGTGCTGTTTCACGTCGACGACGACGTATAGTCATAACTTTGAAAAAAATAATAAACGCATTAAATGGATTAGAATTTATGGTGAAATTGTGAGAAAAGTAAGATTTATAATTGTTATTAGTCAGTCTGTTTATTGAAATATTCATAAACAGATTCCATAGAAAATAGTCTTCATGATTTAAAATTTATATCGTAAATTGTTGACAGTCAGATAGTTGACTTGTTATACTATGAAATGTCTTCCTCAAGAGTACTAACTCACGATCTCATCAAGTATTTAACTCAAAACTTCAAGTTCTTATGACAAATGTACAGGTTTTAGAACTACTCAGTTTCCAAACTCAATCAATTGGTGATACAGTGATATGATCATCTAAATCTTTTTCAACCGAGTCTGTTGTGAGATAATAGCTCACAGTGGCGAATGTGTTGCTCAGTTTCGCGGATTAGTTGAAGTTAGACATTAACACCGTTGGATGCCGGCCGGCTCAGTGGTATAGTGGTTATGAGCTCGCGCATGAGACAGATAGGTCCTACGTTCGAATCCTGTGAGGAAAGTTCGTGAATGCGCACTGCTGCCTGGTTTCGCAGTAGAAAGAAACGGCCATCCAGTGCTTCTAGATTTCCCATAGTGGTCTAGCTTTAGTTGACTCATGGTTTCAACTACTGAAATGATTTTTTTGATTTATAGCATGCATAGACTCCGTCAGTCATGTTTTATGACTACAACTCCAAGAATATCTTGAAGTCGCTTATGTCTGAAGACATTTTGCGAAGGTTGATTTCACTTATGCGTTATACATGTCGCAAACTGATCGTAGCTCGGGGTACAACTGGAAAACACGAGGGACTAGACGTTTCTTTCATCCTAGTACGGGACTTTTTGTAGATAACCATCCACGATCCTACCAGGAGATCAAACTTAGGATCTTCAAGCATTCTAGCGAAAGCTTAATCAATCTGAAACGCATAAAATATGCAAACTAAACTAATTTCGGCAAAATCCCTAAACTAAATTATAAAAATGCTTTTTCTTTGAACATGATACAATCGCCATCAGCAATAATAATAATAACAATACAACTTACATATACATGTGGATGTGACAATCAACAATATTAAGCCTAAGGTGGCCAATATAGACAAATGTAATTTTTGAGCAGCCAAACGTTCTGCTTCCGCTTCAAGTTGCTCTTGTTCCTTTCTTAATTCAAATACACTTTTACTAGTATCTGGTATTAATTGACCGTCAGGACCTAATACATTTGGATGTAAGCCTGTATATAAAGTCAATAAAATAAAGGTTTCGTTGAAGAATCGGAATCATATTGGTGAAAATATGCTTTTTTTCAAGAATGCTTTTCTTTCCAATATGATGGAAAATATATTTGTAGCTCAAGATGAGGATGATGGGGCTGTTGTGATCTCTTAGCTGGATAGTTTGGATGTAAACCTTCATTGTATTACTACTGAACAACATCACTAGCACTTAATTCAGGATGAAGTTCAGGCTGACGGTGTTGTTCAGATAAACATTGAAATTTTCACAAACAAACCATCCAGCTCAGAAATCACAGCAAAATCGAACAATGGTTCCCATTTTTAGTTCCATTCAGTATGGTCAGAAGTTCCCAGTATCGAGGAGGTGCTTTTAACAGTTCATTCGATTACATTAGTTCGATTAAAGACAGGAACTGCTTTAACATAAGTGTAAGTTTTAAATAAATAAACAGTGAAGGTGTGGTGCCTGGTACTATGTCGAGTCCACACAGCCTATTTCAGCTTCCAGATAGGCCAATCTATTCATTCTTCTTGAGTCACACTTTGACCTCGTTAGTTATTCATTTATCAACCTCGACTGTTTATATAAGTGTGTGCGTGTGCACTTTCCGTCCCATTTCATCACATTTCTGTGACATTTTTTTGTTCGGCCATAAATATCGATTAACGCTTGATTAAATGGAGTTGGTTCACACGCCTTCTCCATCGCACGTCATTTCTCTTCACTCTCTTCTCCTCTCTTCGTTTCTCTGATTGTCTGTCCACATCAATGAGTATACAAAATATACATATTCAATTATCTATTCTCGTATTTGACTTATTTTAACTCCGTTACTCACCAAAGAGATTTAAGTCGATGATTATATACGAGGATTGACGAGGATATGTGCTTTCGATAACAATCATTCATACGATCACCTCGGAGTCTGATTTAGGGCCAGTAAAAAAGAATATGTTTTCTGTGAAATTGTGTTCTTTCTGAAATGATTGGCTTAATTGTGATCTTTTATTACCTTTTTAGACAATATCATTACCATAGGCTTCTCATAGATGTGAATTAAAGACATTTTTCTACAACTGATTAGCAGCTTATTCTATTGACTTTGAATTTGATTAGTTCAACTTAACTCTTTGGCGAGACTATAATTTATGTATGACGTTTGAACGAATCTTAAATGGACCTTGACAAATTTCAGCCAATCAGAAGACAGAGTGAGAATATATTACATGAAACCAAAAAATAAGAGTAGATGCACTTCTTTAACATAGTTTAAGAAGTTTTTAATGTTAAAAAGAGGCTCTTGAGTTCTGAAATCATAGTGTATGCGGTACAATAACTCATCCATGTGACTCTATAATAGTCGACCTCTGGAGCCATGATAAGGTTGAAAAATTCTTTTAACTTTGATTACATTGTTTCTGAATTATTGATGTGTACTCCTGTGATATGATCTACAAAATGTCACTCGTGAACGACGATACGATGCATGTAACCAAGTCTAGATAGGCATCGATGTACTCTCCAGTCATTCGTGTACATTGTGGTACACGGATGAACATACTCTCGTATAGTTTGAATTATCGTTGTAGCCTGTTGGTTTCTCACGCGCTGTAAGTTTCTCTTTTGAGGTGACGTATCATACATACCAAGGATCTTCTAAGTATACTTCTGGAAGTGCTACTTACTCAGTCTTCTTTAAAAATTCTTCCTCCATTGAATTAGCGTTTTCTAATGACTATATCGTCGATTTTTACAGTTCTCCCGATACCTCCAAATTATGGATGCAAGCTTATCATTCTTATTGCACATATATCTCAACAATACTAATGCCACTGAACTGTCATAGCTTCAATAACATCTGCAAAGGTTGTAGCCAGTGTTACTGGTGCTTTTATTACCCAGTTTACAACAATTATCGTAATCGTGAAAGAGCGAGAAAAGTCCCTGTCCTAGCAAACTTTCTCCACCAACATATATTACATCGAAATACAACATTACCGCAACAGTCTACGCAATATCCAGCAGTCATTTGGACACCGCAATCAAATATGAGGTAACTTTTCAGTAATTCCATTTGTTAAGGCCTCTAAATACAACGTCCTCCTTGAAATCCTCTGTAGACCGATCGTACAAGACAAGTTTGACTGCCATTTGATATTCATGTAGATGATCATGATGATGTCGATGTTCATGATGATGATGTTGATGTTGATGATGATGATGTTGTTGATGATGATGTTGATGATGATGATGATGATGATGATGATGATGATGATGATGATGATGATGATGATGATGATGATGATGATGATGATGATGATGATGATGATGATGATGATGATGATGATGATGATGATGATGATGATGATGATGATGATGATGATGATGATGATGATGATGATGATGATGATGATGATGATGATGATGATGATGATGATGATGATGATGATGATGATGATGATGATGATGATGATGATGATGATGATGATGATGATGATGATGATGATGATGATGATGATGATGATGATGATGATGATGATGATGATGATGATGATGATGATGATGATGATGATGATGATGATGATGATGATGATGATGATGATGATGATGATGATGATGATGATGATGATGATGATGATGATGATGATGATGATGATGATGATGATGATGATGATGATGATGATGATGATGATGATGATGATGATGATGATGATGATGATGATGATGATGATGATGATGATGATGATGATGATGATGATGATGATGATGATGATGATGATGATGATGATGATGATGATGATGATGATGATGATGATGATGATGATGATGATGATGATGATGATGATGATGATGATGATGATGATGATGATGATGATGATGATGATGATGATGATGATGATGATGATGATGATGATGATGATGATGATGATGATGATGATGATGATGATGATGATGATGATGATGATGATGATGATGATGATGATGATGATGATGATGATGATGATGATGATGATGATGATGATGATGATGATGATGATGATGATGATGATGATGATGATGATGATGATGATGATGATGATGATGATGATGATGATGATGATGATGATGATGATGATGATGATGATGATGATGATGATGATGATGATGATGATGATGATGATGATGATGATGATGATGATGATGATGATGATGATGATGATGATGATGATGATGATGATGATGATGATGATGATGATGATGATGATGATGATGATGATGATGATGATGATGATGATGATGATGATGATGATGATGATGATGATGATGATGATGATGATGATGATGATGATGATGATGATGATGATGATGATGATGATGATGATGATGATGATGATGATGATGATGATGATGATGATGATGATGATGATGATGATGATGATGATGATGATGATGATGATGATGATGATGATGATGATGATGATGATGATGATGATGATGATGATGATGATGATGATGATGATGATGATGATGATGATGATGATGATGATGATGATGATGATGATGATGATGATGATGATGATGATGATGATGATGATGATGATGATGATGATGATGATGATGATGATGATGATGATGATGATGATGATGATGATGATGATGATGATGATGATGATGATGATGATGATGATGATGATGATGATGATGATGATGATGATGATGATGATGATGATGATGATGATGATGATGATGATGATGATGATGATGATGATGATGATGATGATGATGATGATGATGATGATGATGATGATGATGATGATGATGATGATGATGATGATGATGATGATGATGATGATGATGATGATGATGATGATGATGATGATGATGATGATGATGATGATGATGATGATGATGATGATGATGATGATGATGATGATGATGATGATGATGATGATGATGATGATGATGATGATGATGATGATGATGATGATGATGATGATGATGATGATGATGATGATGATGATGATGATGATGATGATGATGATGATGATGATGATGATGATGATGATGATGATGATGATGATGATGATGATGATGATGATGATGATGATGATGATGATGATGATGATGATGATGATGATGATGATGATGATGATGATGATGATGATGATGATGATGATGATGATGATGATGATGATGATGATGATGATGATGATGATGATGATGATGATGATGATGATGATGATGATGATGATGATGATGATGATGATGATGATGATGATGATGATGATGATGATGATGATGATGATGATGATGATGATGATGATGATGATGATGATGATGATGATGATGATGATGATGATGATGATGATGATGATGATGATGAATAATTTTTTTCTGGCTTGTGAATTCAAAAAAGGCAATTTTCAAAAATCATCTTCCTAAGCTATAAGTATCCTTCAAGATTTCAAATGTAGTACAATTTATACATTTAGATGCCATAGAGATTTCAATACTGATCAAGGATAGCACTGTTAACATTTTTGTTTTAAAGAGCATAACTATGAATTACGTTTTTAAGTGGACTTGAAAATCACAAATCTAGTGGTGTTATAAACGCTTTGCCTATCAATTTATTATCCAAGCTTATTATGCTTGAATCATATATAAGTATATATATATATATTATACTTATTAATCCAAATCTAAGTAGTTTGAATAATGACTGATTGTAACAAAACATTTCGGATGAATTAAACATGTTTAAGCTTGGAAAAAGGCCAAGAATTTGAATTTAATCAACTAACTCAATAATAATGGAATCAACATAAGATCTAGTTGTATTTAAGAATGGATACAGTTATACAACCAACAGCGTTTTATCCATTGTCAATCACTGTCCAGCTGTTAACGATGAGAACAGGTGAAACTTAATGTCAAAAATATAAAAATGTGTGTATCGTTCGTAGTAGTAAATAAATCTCCAAATTCAATAGCTCTGTAAGTCTTCGACATTTGACGCTGACCATATTAATTTTAATGGACTCATCTAGCTAAAGGCGCTCAGTCACGCATCCACCACATCAGACCACGAGTGGGTACTTTGTGCTCAACTTCTCTTACAACCGCTAACCAAATTATATCACTCGCTTCTCGATATATCGACAGCTTATCAAATACATCATCGAACCTCTTTATCTCTGACTTCTGATTTCACTGGGTTGGTACGTTTCGGTTATGGAAGGTAATACTGATTAAGGTGTTGTCAAAGTCCAAATACTTGTGGCATCTTCATGTTGTACTAAAAAAACTTAACTATTCAAAAGTTAATGAAATTGAAGTGATTTTACTAGTGATGCATACAACATAAACTGGATGTTCAGGGGATATTTATTGTCTTGATTTAAGTTAATAAAACTCAAAATAATATGATTGTCTGATGTATACAGATAAGTAAATAAATGTAGCTTACTTGACCGTGTACAGTGACCTCCTTCATCTTGCCACTGAGGACAATTAATTATATCATCACACCATAAATGTTTTGGTATACAAACTTCTGAATCACATGCTTCCCAATCTTTGACACATGGTTTACCTATATAAATAAATTGAACAGTAACCAGAGTATTATGATAAGAAGTCATGTTACATTGTACAAACGCGTTTCATTAACATAATTGAATGTTTTGTAAAGTAACTACATAAATATTGGCTAGTTTCATAAACCATTAGGTAATCTGTATAAAACAGATTCGATGAATTGAACAATGATTAAATCATATTTAAAGTTCCCAATTCTTGAGTAAGAAGTTGCCTTTGGTTTCATTGTTGAAATAACAAACAAAATGGCTATTCATATTCTTTACATAGTTATAAGTATAGGAAATTTAAAACAAGCATTTCAATCATACAATGTACATTTTGAGTATAAATGCTCAAAGTGATCTTTATTATGTGATATATCCGAGCGAAGGTTAAGTCACGAGTAACTTCTGAGACATATTAATTTACTAATATTATCTATACATTGTAATGGTATAACTATTCAACAGTTGGAGTATGAATATTTATATTCCCCCTATTATAAGCTTTATTTTCACCTATAATTTATTATTGTACGATTTACTGTTCATAAGCTATGTTCAGTTTATTGACCATTGCCTCCCACGTTCAAAGACACTTTTTGGCTTTATTGTGTACAAATGTTATTTCCTATTTTTTGGTGCGTTGTGGTCTGTTTGATTGATATATAAACTCAGTATGTCTGAAATAAATGATTCCATTTGATTCGCATAGTAGGAGCTGGTATTGTTGTTCTGAACTCAATTGGACAAGCTTGGAGGACATAGGATCAATAAGGACGGTAGGCTGCTAATACCGGTCGAACGTCATTGGTTTTGTCACAGTGCTAAGATTTTATAAGTCGTATTTAGATTGGTGGATAAATCACGTGGTTACTAGCCGGACATAAAGTCATCACATTATGGTGATCTCAATAATTTAGTAATCTTTATAGACGATTAAAGTATATAAGCTTGACGTAAATGAAAGATCAATAGTTTGACAGACAAGATCACGAACTCACACTAACTTCAATCTGTTCTGTTATCTAGAGGATAAAAACTTGCATGTAAGAATTTCATCGTGAATAAATGTAAAGTATGACACTATTTGTAATGTTAGATTTTCGATTTCATTGATGAGAACGATAAAGAAATTTGAGAAAATCTGTAAGTGAGAAGCTCAAACTGGTAAGAGGATATGAAGTAAGTTTTATCAGGTTTAAAATATTGATTTGTGATAAAGTACGTGATGAGGTATACATCTTGTATATTTTATTCTTTTCACTGAATTTTTGAAGTCATAAAACTATAATAAACGAAATGTCGGTCTTTACAATTGGATCTTGTAAGAAGCGATCAAATGTTAACATGAAACTCATAGACAAATTGAAATTCATGATTAAAAATATGAAATCACTATACAAATGAACATAATATGTATATCGTTTGTCTAATCAATCCCTGACGACTCAACATCAAATCTTTGATGAGATTTAGGAAAATCTTCCAGAAGTTTATGACATCTTGAAAGCTGATTATAAAGAATTTGTATTGAATTAATAATCTCTTTCTTAATGGATCAAATGTTTCAGAGAATACCAGGAAAACCTTCAGGATGATATAACAAGGAAATAACAGTAAACCTATTGTCTCGATGAAAATCTTGAAATTTTGTAATGTTATTTGCTCGAATATTTGCTGATAAATTAATTTTAGAAAAATTATCCATGAATATGACTGTCATACACTAAATACTGTAAGCAATAAGGTGACCATTATCTCAGTGATTTGTGGACGAAGGAGATAATGATTGGTTGTTTGCTTAGTTAGACTGGTAGATAGGCTGACAGGAATTAGATGAGTTATATATTCTCCTACCCTTATTATTATGATTGGTTTTTGGTGTGGAAATATATTTATGTTCTAGTCAGGCTAGTCAAATGTACTTGATCTGAGTCGTGTTGAAGTCTTGTAGAATAGACACTGGGAGGAGCATCTAGTGTAGATAATCATCAAAGGCAAAATAGCATCCCATTCGTGTAGACGGAAAACCGAGCGTTATAATACTCAGTCCATGTATATTTTGGAAGAAATGATATGAACAAAAAATGTATTATTTCCTGGATTAATTGCCCTGATCTCAGTTGTCTTAACCTGAAGCGTGTTATTCTTCACGTTAGTGTTAATTCCTTCATTTTATATATTACACTATTGACACTGTTCATCGTTACACCACTCATTAGTAACAAACTACTTCAAATGTAAAATACTCTGACAGTTGAATTCATGGTTCCATTAATGCTACACCACCATAGAAAACCTAAAAGCACCTTCGCGCGTGAGACCAAAGGTCCTGGGTTCGAATCCTCAGTGTATGTGCATCCTATGTTGTACATGTCTACATTAAAACCAAGTCAATAAATATATTTAAGCTTATCAATCGATAATCCATACCTACCTTAAAAACTAACTCATACTTCTTCATTACTGAAGATTAAGTTCCACAATATATTCGTGGCAACTACTAGACATTCATGATCAATGACTTACTCTCATACTCAAAGTACATCTATAATCACGGTGAAATAAACTAAAGTTAAACTGTTATATACTGTATTCTGCTTCTAATGAGTAAAACAAATCTTTAAAAACATATATTCAATCATCAAATTAAATCAATAAATCAATAAAATAATATTGAACATTGAATGATTTTCATTTAAAATTCATTCAACTAACCATCCATTGATTTTTGTTTTAAACTTGTTAATATAAAAACAAATTTAGGCATATATTCTTGTAATTTTTCATCGATTTTATTCATGATGTTTACTGTTTGACGAAGATAACGATGACGACGATGATGATGATGATGTAAGATCGTTGATGAATATTTCAGTTTGTTTTCTTCTAATGAATTATGATTACTGGAATTTCTAGAATCATTATTATCATTATTAAAGTATGTTAAATCACGACGTGTTTTAATTGTATCCAATAAATCTGGTTTTAAATTTGGTGATGCAATAACCATACGTATAATAAGACGTGGATAACGTATATAAAAATCTCTATCAGAACCATGATTTTTTGGTAATTTTAATATACCTAAAGTTTTATCACAGAATCGGATAATTTTAGGACATGGTGGAACAAATTGTGATATAGTTTTACCTGGATATACTTCGAAAAATGTATGCTGTCCATCAATAATTGATGAAGGATCTTGTAATGATAATTTATTTAAACCTGAGTCTGTAACTGAATAGATGAATAAAAGAAAAGATAATTCATTTTTGGTTAAAGATAATTAGAAATGAGTAATAAATTCAATATTAGATCGTGAATGAATTGAAGCTAAATATGAACACCACTAGGTGTTGGGTCAGTGGTCTGAAGGTTAAGCGTTTGCGCTTGAGGCTGACACTTCTGAGTTCGAGTCCCAAATGCGAGATAATTGGTGCACACTGTTGAAGCGTTCCATACTAGGACGAAACAGCTATCTGGTGCATCCAGGTTTTCAGTGGTGCTCTAGCTTAGATTGGCTTGTGAATTCAGCTGTTAAATAAGAAAGATTAGTTCAGCGAAGAGTTCTCTTTTCGGCGAATTCATTTTCAAAGCTGTACAATCGCAAATATATATACTTATTTCACAGGTTGAAATCATGAGTCAGTTGAAGCTAGACCACCATTGAAAACCTGGAAGCACTGGACGGCCGTTTCGTCCTGGTATGGGACTCCTTAGCAGTGCGCATCCACGAGCCCGCACCACGCGGGGCTCGAACCCAGGACCTACTGGCTTCGCGCGCGAGCACTTAACCACTAGACCAATGAGCCGGCATCCGACGGTAGGTCCCAGTGGGTCCTGGGTTCGAGCCCCGCGTGGTGCGGGATCGTGGATGCGCACTGCTGAGGAGTCCCATACCAGGACGAAACGGCCATCCAGTGCTTCCAGGTCTTTAATGGTGGTCTAGCTTCAACTGACTCATGATTTCAACCTGTGAAATAAGTATATATATTTGCGATTGTACAGCTTTGAAAATGAATTCGCCGAAAAGAGAACTTTTCGCTGAACTAATCTTTCTTATTTAATGTTTTAGTGGGTGTATTCTGTTTATTAAACAATTCAGCTGTTATTATATTAGATAATAAATAACGCAAAGATATAATTTCCTTGGTTACTTATCTACGTTGGTCATTATAATTTAAATGGATTCACGATGTAATGACAATTGTCCATCTTTATCGGTATTACATTTACCTGTCTAAATTAGTTTTTTAAATGATTACATTGCATTATTAATTACTGTACTTGGTTTGTGGAGATTGTTGAATTAATGGATTAAATCACTAAGTGATCTTAGTTAAACATTCACCGAGAACGAAAGCTATTCTGTCATGGTATAGAACTACTTAGAGGTGTGCATTTTTGACCGCGTTGTGAGATTGAATTCAGGACCTACATATCTTACGACTAGTGTCTAACCTTTAGACTAGCGAGTGCTTACTTATTTGTTTATATGTTTAATAGTAGTCATTTGGCAGAATTGAGGAACTATGCTAGATGGATAGGAGTTAACCACCGTTGGCATGAATAAATGGGTTTTCAATGCTTCTCTAAATAAGATCATACTATGATATAAATTACGAAATACGAAAATCTGAACAGACCTCTCTTAAATTTAAATCTTAACTCTAACATCTCCATACGTAATTATCACCGATTGATGAGTAGCATGTCATTTTCTGTAAGTATATCTTTGTTTTCTTTAGATCAACAGACCCAAAATCTTATAAGATACTTGAATCCATTGATTAATTATACACAATTTATTTATACATTGAAGTAGTATTATTTACTTTCCATAGGTTATACATTTATAAAGGATGTTTCCGAATTGGTCAACACAGGAATTAAACTCTTCTTGATTATTCGAACTAGTGTACTGTAATATAACCCATTCACATATTAAATAAATCTTAATTTTGTGCTAAGTAGTATGTTACATAAACATGTCATTTAAAGATAAATAAAAAAATAATTTTTCTCTAACAAGTTATTATGTTACATTTGACACCAGTTTACTATGATCCTTGGATCTGTGAGGCCCTTGAATTTTGTCGTCGTTTAGATCGGACGATGTTGTCGAAAGGACTCTGCACTTTAGTGGCCCGAGATCTGACTCCAATTTGATCGTATGAATGTTTGTTATCGCCTATCCTCGTATAGAATCATCGAATTAAATTGCATTAGTCAATAAGTCAAATAACGAGAATGGACTCTTGAACACATATATTTTGTATATGAAGCGAATGAAATAGAAAGAAGAGGAACGACGCGCAGTGGAGATGGTGGGTAAGCCAACTCCCATTTAGCCAAACGTTAATCAATATTTATAGTTACAGAAAAATAAGTTACAGACATGTGATAAGTAATGGGATAAGAAATGTACACAAACCTACGCGCTCAGTCAAGATTGATAAGTGAGTAAATAACAAGGTCGAAATGTGACTCAAGTAGAATGAATGAAATGATCTGTCCGAAACCTAGAATAAGGTATATGGGCTTAACATAATAACCGACACTACAGACCAATAATTCGAATTTGTGACCAATCATCACTTCGTTATAATGAAGTTAAGCGATTGATCGAAAGAATATATCTTACAATTATATGAGATTTTTTTTACTTTTAACAATATATCAGTTTGGTGTTAAGCAATCGTTACCTAACAAACTAAGTTACAACGAAACAACTGTCCAATAATTTAGTGATTTCCAGTTGGAATCACTTCTTGAAAGTAAACTTTTCTATCGTAATTTAATAATTGGATTCATAAGTCAATTAAAGCTAGACCACTATGAAAAACCTAGAAGCACTGGACGGCTATTTCATCCTAGAATGGATCTCCCCAGCAGTACGCATCTACGATCATGCCCTAAGAGATTCGAACCCAGGATCTATCAGTCTCGCTCACGAATGCTTAATTTTCTATTGTATTTAAACGGATCTTACATTACAATTAAACAGAATACAATTCATACTACATGTTAACGATCACTGTAATTCATAGTTAAACTTTATATTTGATAACTCATAAACAGAGTTATTTGTCTTCCAATATTAAATTAAGGTGGGACCAAACAAAGCAATAATTGTGTAGTAAAATTTAAATTCGTTAGTTCCTATTAAGTACATTTGGTAGAATTGTAATGTGTACTACTGATGTCGACAAATATAAGTAGTATGAATTATCAATCGGAAGTGAAATGCCTGATGGCAAAAGATTAAGATCTAAGAGAAGAGAACAAGAACAGTGAATGGTTGATGTGGAAACGAAGAAATAATCAAGTCTGGGACGATTGATCAACATTTTGTAAATGAAGTATTTACTGTATTGTTCTCAGATTTTACTAGGACGTTCTGTAATTTTGTTCCCAGATACAATCGACTGTCCCCGCTTAAGATCTTGTTCACTACAGTATGATTATTCATTTGTTATTAATTTCTGATCGTAACGAACAAGAACAAAAGTGGGGACAACCGAATGCATCTGATACGACATTAGAGAGCATCTCAATAAAATATGAGAATCATATAGTAAATAGCTAATTTGCAAAATATCAATCCATAGTCTCAAATTTGACTGTTCCTCTGTAAATATCAGTCCATTGTCTCAGATTTCATTGTTCACGCATTTTCATACCAATTGCGTTCTGTTCCCGTTCTTTCCTTCTTGATCTTCTACTGAAGTACATTCTATGACTGAACACCGTTATATACTACTTATATGGATATAAGTAACTCACACCACACTGATTACCTCAAGTAATGTTGAATGTACAAGATAAATTTTATTTTCAGACGAATAGAAAACACCCTATAGAAGAATCAAAATCAAAGAATATTTTAGTGAACAATTGTTTTCAATAATTTCATTATCAGGCTCCACATTCACTTGGTATTAGTTACTTGAATCTTCCCATCGATGTTTAGGACTGCCATTCATCAGTATCTATTGGCATATGTGCATAATGTGCGTATTGCCTCGATATTGCCTTAATTACTGAAGCTAACGGTATTCGGTTCGAGTCCTAGAGTGAACATCAACACAGATACAGATACATGCAGCTGACAAGTTCCAAATAGAACCAAACGCGAATCTTGGATTCCACTACCAGCCACTATCCATCTTTGCTTACAGGCTCTACAGTTATAAGTTCATAATTATTGAGATATTTTACAAAGCTCAAAATAAGACATGCATTAATGAATAAGACAATGTTATATGTTAGAAATGGGGAATGTTTGCATCTGTTATGACATAAACGTTTTAAAATTGTGTTATATATAAATTGAAAATTAGACATTTTAATATATCGACTCAAAAAATCTGTTGAAAGGACGTTTCACACTACAAAGTTATATGTTATTATCTCAACCAAATCAGTTTTTACGCAACAGATCAAGCATAGGTTAGCGATGCTGGGTTTCTCCATGTGTGAATAGCAGTTCAACTGTTTCTGTGGAGTTAGTTACATGAGCCATACTCAGCGGGCTTTATCACACATGTTCGTGAACATGTATCAGGATGGTTGGGAAAAGGAGTCACGAGATGTATTAACAGCCCTATCCTTTCTCACTTGGTAGACAATGAACATTGTATTAGAAGATATGAAGCTTTCTCTGTTTTATATCGAGTACCAAAAAAATCTACCTAAAGCAGCAGCTACCCTACAATAGCTGAAGCCATCTGGATCAACTCCAGGAAACTGAACTTATGTATCTAGAAGAGGTATATTCAGCCTCTATTTTTACATTGGTGCACGACTAAATCAACAGATACCTACAATAGGTAAAATAAACTTATTATCCCTCGCTACCAAACCCTTTTGAGTTTACATCTTTCTTAATCTACACATTTATATTTTCACAGATTGAAATCATGAGTCAGTTGAAGCTAGACCACCATTGAAAACCTGGAAGCACTGGACGGCCGTTTCGTCCTAGTATGGGACTCCTCAGCAGTGCGCATCCATGATCCCGCACCACGCGGGGCTCGAACCCAGGACCTACTGGCTTCGCGCGCGAGCACTTAACCATTAGACCACTGAGCCGGCATCCAATGGTGTTAATGTCTAACTTCAACCAATCCACGAAGTTGCGCCACCATATACCATATACATTTATATTTCCCAATCTATATGAATTCTTTCTTATCATAATTACTTTGATAACAGTTCTCTTATTAAATATTATACTCACACATTATTATTATTATTATTATTATTATTATTACTTCAATGATGAAAATCTCATACTGTGCACTTTATTCACATGATCTATTGTATTACTATTATATGGGTGATAACTTGACAATTTACTACGATTCCTTCTGACCTTTCTAATTTCCAAATAACACAATTTTGAAGTATTTATGTTGTAATACATGCAAACATTCACCATTTTCAACATATGAGATTGTTGAATTTATTTTGAATGGAAAATACCCATTAAACCATACAATGTAAGAGTAGCTCAATAAAGAGATCTGTTTTCAGTCATTTACTAATTTTTTTTTTCATTTATATGACAGCAGTTTATGAAATTGCATTCTATAATTCGATCTCGTTTGTAAATCACATCCTGTTAATTCTACTTATGAGCTGCATAAAATATCCGGTTGATAGCAAATTTAAGTTTCCGTTTCAACATGCAGCCCAACTTGTCATTATCAAAATTCCGAGGTCTATATTTTACCTAAAACCCAAACAGCGCGAAAGCGATTATGTCACATCCTTTTGTGTCTATCAATTTACACGTACATTGAGGTTGGGTGAACACATACCAAGATGGTTGCAGAAACAAATGGATTGTAATGGTCAAATAACATCACAAGATAGGGCCTGCAAATGCCCTGGTACGATCGAGAGTGGGGAGAGTCCTCTAGCCCTCTCGAAATGCTCTGAAATGGCCAAGCGTATATAGCCTCTGCCAGGGAAGTCCTACTCACTGCCTTCTCGTGGCACCGGTGTTGTTTACGAAATTGAGAGGACGAAAAGCGAATGTCCGGCGCTTTAACCGGGTTGGTGAGCATGGAGAGTTCACCTAGGGCAGTTGGAAAACCCTGATTCTAAACCAATGGTGCACATGGTCTCCAGTACCCTGAAGGAACAAATGGCTTATGAACCAATCGTTGGTCACCGGTTACCATGGCACTGAATCTCCTTACGTTGCTTCACTGCCTTGTGGAACAGACCTTCGTGTCGAAGGCTCCGGGTATGGCTCCTTAAGAAAACGACCTGCTTCGGTTTGGGCATCCGGGCAGTATGACAACCCTCACACATATCAAATGAGATTTGTGTGGAGCACATGTATTTGGTGACTCCTCGTACCAATATCTATATGTTAAAATAAAATAAAATAAAGGTTGACATCAAGTCAGCATTTGTAGTGTAGTACAGGAGCCTTCAAGGACGTATACTAAGGTTTGTTGAAGCCTTGGCCATACGGAAATTGAAACCCCCTTTGTGTGTTCAAAAACAATTTGTCCTTACACTTAACCTACCCTGGTAATACTGATTTATTATACAGAGTGGTTATCACATTTGCCTTTGTGTATTTTAATATTTTTTCCTTTGTTATGACTTACCCTTAACCTGTCTAGTTGACCTTATAATTTTCATATATAAATGTTCTTAACAAGTATATAATGTGTGATCAGATTGTTCGAAATGTATTGCGCAAATATATCACAAATTCAACTTCATCTTCTCATTGCATTATCGAAATTTATCAAAGAGACTAATTGTTTTAAATAACAATAATATTGAGTTAAATCTATTATTCATTCGCATACATATTTGTTCAATTAGTTGAAAATTCAAATGAAGACAATTTTCCAGTCTCTAACATCTTGAAATAGACATAGTTTACGATACTAATTATGTGACTTTGGGCAAATTCAAAACCACCAGTTTGTACTACTATGTTTCTATCTCAATATCTCATAATGACTCTATGTTATGATTGAAATAATATCTAATAAAGTATTTCGTGTTGTAAAGTGCTTTCATGTATTTGGCACAAAACAATGAATCTAAATTTCATAGTAATTGGGATTTATCAGAAAGACGCAACTAAATTTCGAATACGCTAAAGAACAATTACGTAATTGATGTGAACAGGGAAACAAAAAGGTTTGACAAACTACGGAAGCTATTTTAGGGGAACGTTATTTCATTTTATTCAAAACTTGTAAAACACTAACATTTATTTTTGTCCCTATTTTATTCTACAGAACATGAGCTTTCGTTCGATGTATCAGTCATTGCCATACCCTTTTTTGTTCCGAAGTTATTGTAATGTAAACATAATATTTTGCACCCTATTTTCTATTTTAATTCCCAGCTTTGGACATAATTGTATTTTTCCAAATTATTGTACGTTGTGGTCGGGTTAGTCACCTATTTATTCATGTATTTTTTTACACTAATCCAAACTGAAATTAGGATATCAGGAATAGATCGAGTAGTGTTCCAGTTGTCTTGTCTTCTTCTTGTTTTCTTCTCTCTACCCCATTTCGAACTCACGTGTACTATCCTCAAGGTAAGGTTGGTCAACCTATCGCGTCAAGGTCTTAATCTGGATCCTCAGCACCAAAAGTGAGTAGACAGACCAAAGGACATAACACTAATGTTTATAAATAAACAACATCAAATCACATTAAGGATTAATTGACAGAATTCAATGAACACTAAATGAATAGATAAATATAACATCGGTTACTATTCAATGAATCAAATGTTTTTAACTTACTATCATTTCCATTCATTTTTTTTTCTAAACCAAATACAATAGGTTCACCAGTAAGGCATTTAATTCTTGTTAATTTTGTAAATGTTGATTCTGGTTGACAACTCCATGCTGCTGATTGAGGAACTTGTACATGATCAATATGTAACATGATCTTTATTTGAAATATATTGATTTTTAAAAAAGAAAACAAACCAAATAGGGATATTGGTAAAGAAGAAAGAAACTATACAAAATATGTTAATTACTTATGATATAAAGAATTTTAATATAGAATTACTGTCAGATCCACTAGACAATCACTATTGAAATTCATATGGAATCTATTCGAAATAAACTTGAACTTACTATTACTATTATTACTATTACTATTAGCTTTATTCAATACTAAATTTTTGGTACAATATAGAATTCTCAGCGCAAAGTATTTCAACAAGTTTCCGTTTCTTTCTTCTTGGTCGGTCCTGGCGATAAATATTGAGTGATCGCCAGTTAGATGTTAGCAGTCCAGTAAATGAACATCTGAATGATGTACATTCTTTTCGTTGTATATTGCCAGCAACCGCATTGTCTCTTATTGTGCTTTTTGTAACTTTGACAACGAAAGGTTGTACACTTCTCAGAAATACACCAGGATAGCTTATGCGATTAATAGACATAATGATATATTAAACACAAACAAAAATAGATAACTTGATGAAATGTCTAGATGGCAGGAACAGGTAGCCCAGATGCTCAAGCAGGCTGCCAAGTAGTTCATATTTTACAATGTTGATTAATTAATAATATATTTAAAGGTTAAGCGTTCATATGCGAGACTGATAGGTCCTGTGCTCGAATCTCGCGGGGTGGAATAGTGGATAGGCACTGCTGAGGAGTCCCATACTAGGATAAAATAGCCGTCCAGTGCTTCCAAATTTTCCATGGTAATCTAACTTCAACTGATTCATGAATCCAATTATTAAATTATTACAATCCCTACAAAACCACTTTCTAATTACAATATATTTTTCAACAAGTAGCCGACCTATTCATGCATTGTATTTATCAAGGAATGAAAAATGTAGTAATATGCATTGAAAGATAGACAGCACTATAACCTTGTTTTATCTTATTATAGGTTTTCTCTACAATGCTTACCTACAACTTTATCAAAGATAAGATCTAGTAATTTTAGGCATTATGGTAAACCCTCATCCATTAGAACCATTTAGTCAGTATCCAATAGTAAACATCAGAATTCAATTAATTCTCAATAAAGTTGTGACATTTTTTTTAAAGTTACTTATAACAACTAGTAAACTCCTGAAAATCTATTTTTGGCTTGGATTATGAGTATGTTCTTCTGAGACGTTTTTATACTAAGACAAAAAAAGCTTGCCTAATCTTTCCTAGTTTTCAAAGTTAACTTATCTGGGTTTAATCTTTAATGAATATTATCAACACGTTATTACTAATTGGTGAAACACTTCAATCAAATTATTTAATTACAATGATTTGGTTTTCTTTTTCTTCAAAATGCGATAAGTAATTTATCAGTAGGGGTTTTGTGAAGATTGTAGTAACTTCACCAGATGATATCATGAGTCAGTTGAAGTTAGACCGCCATGGAAAACCTGGAAGCACTGGACGGCAGTTTCGTCCCGTTGTGGGACTCCTCAGCAGTACTCATCCACGACCCTGCCTCGCGAGATTCGAACTGAGGACCTATCAGTCTCGCGCCAACTAGACCACTGAACCGGCATCCAACGGCGTTTTCCATGTTGGTCTAGCTTCAATTGACTCATAATCTCAACTGTTGAAGTAATTTATCTTTGAATATGAAGAACAAAGAAAACAAAGTACTTGAACATCACGATTTAATGAAAGATCTATTATTTCATAAACCATTTAGATTTATAATTCGACAAGTTTACAGTGATTAAAAGAAAAGATGATAAAGTTCAGTCATGATTATTTTCTTATGCTTTTGAGATAGTGACAAATTTTTGTAGCTTAAGAAAACGATTTAGATGGAGTTTCGTTCTCTGAGCACAAACTTCAAGTAGAACTTAATGGTGATGATATTGTTTAGAAGAATAATCAAAGCTCCACTACCAAATCATCCAACTCAATGAATAAAACGGCACAGAAATTTGATGCTTTTATTACACAATTTACACTCGAACAATTATACAAATTCATGTTGAATGACAGCATAATGTTTGATCCTTTAAAGGAATATATTATCTAACAGATATTAGCAAGTACACTTTAGTTTCAAAACTAAAATGTGGTGTGTGCTGCTGATGTCGACATAAGTAGTATATAACACCAATCAGAAATAAAATGGCTAGCAGCAGAAGGTTTGAAAGATCGAATCGAAGAGAACGGGACCAGAGAGTAATTGTTATGGCAATGAATGAACGATGAAGTTTCAGACGATTGATGAATATTTTGCAAATTAAGTATTGAACATACGTTTTAAACATTTTATCAAATAACTCTGTAATTTTGCGTTCAAACAGATTGGTTGTCCTCCTCCCACATACGTTTCTATCCATTACTGTAGAAATAACCACAATTGCGATTATTTCGTTTTATATTATTTGTTTCTAACTTACATATGTTCCATTTGTCGATCTGATATCTAAGGCCACTTCTAATGGTAATTGTTGAATTTTCGGTGATAATTTTTCCATTTTCATTAATAGATACTGTTGATCTAATTTCCATGCTTGTCCAGGTTGTAAATTTATTTGAAACTGTACATCTATAGAAACAAAGAAATATAATAAAACATTATTATAATACTGGAAGTAAATTTACCAAAATAGATAATCACAAGAGTATAATACAATATATGTGATTATAAAAAGATTTCAGTTTCAATTAAACAATTTGAAGATGGATGGTGACCAGCGGTGGAATCCAGGACGAGCGTTTTGTCCTACTTCAGATTCGTCAGTTGGATGTATCTCCATCTGAGAGTTAATATTCACTCCGGTACTTCAACCCAATACCGTTCGCTACAAACACTATCGTGTTATCCATTTATGTTATAACCCAGTGAAGATTAAATTACAGGTAACTCCCGAGGACTACTAATGGACTAATATTCTATAAATATTCTTATTGTATAACTATTGAATAATTACATTATGTATATTTATATTCCTCTTATTATAAGCTTTATTTTGACCTATATTTTATTATTGTACGATCTACGATTCTTAAGCCATGCTCAGTCTATTAATTACTGTCCCCCTCGTTCACAGCCACTTTTTGGCTTATTTGTGTACACATGTTATTTTCTATTTTATGATACGTTGTGGTCTGTCTGATTGATATATAAACCGGGTATGTCTGAAATAAACGATCTGGTCTGATCTGCTCGGATTCGATTCATATTACAGAAGCTGGTATTGTGTTCTGGACTCAAGTGGAAGGGCTCGGAGGACATAGGACCAATAAGGACGCTAAACTGCCCACACCGGTTGAACGTCATTGGTTGGCCTAGAGTAAAGATTCGTATAAGTCGTATTTGGATTGGTAGATAAATCGTGTGATAGGAAAACCAGAAATCCAAGGTCATAAAAATTTAGCTACTGAGTTCTGATAGCATTCGCAATGGCATTCCAACATTAACTCTGAGATTCAGGTAGATCTAGCTGACGAGTCCTGAATAAGATGAAACGCGCGTTTTTCATTCCACTCCTAGCCACCATCCATCTTTGCTTATAACGCTAGTGAATTAAGTAATACCCACAGGATGCACGTATTTCAATAATTGACTGATCAATTACTGTCCTAAACATCAATGGGAAGATTCACACAAACAATACAAAAATGAGTCAATCAAGTTATTTTAGTTCATTTTACTCTTAACTTGCTTAAGATAATCAGAACATTTTAACTTGTAACTGACGTATACATAACATTTATGAAAAATAAAGACCAAGGAACTAGTTTTCACTGATAAACACTATGAAATTTATTACTCTTGTCAAGTAAATCAATTGAATCAACCAGAAATAGAAAGATATGATGAAGATCAATGAATCCCTTATATTGTTTGTTAGTTCAGTAGTTAGTTGATAATTCCATTTTTTCTGATATTTGCTTGCATATAAACTCAATAGTCTCTATAAGTGGTATGTTGGTGAACAAAGATCCTACATCCAATGAGATCTTTTTTTTTCATACTAATATTAATATTTTCTACTTTACCTTTACACAAATCATTTGTTAGAAATAGTGTAAAAGATGTCTTCAACTTCACCTCCAAAGTAGAAAATATTAATGTTAGTATGAAAAAAAATATGATCTCATTGGATGTAGGATCTTTGTTCACCAATTCCATTTTTCCCAAGTTACTCATGTATTCATCTTCAATTATTCAAACAAAAAAACAAACGAAATTTCTATTCATCAAAACTTTTAAATATTTAACTTTCAACAGAACACACATTAAAATATTATTTAATTAAGTTTGAAGAACGTCCTTGATTCACTTCTTGATTTCTTGAAGAAAAATGCTCCACCTTCATACTAAATTGTATGTTTTATTGGAGTACAAAGAGAAAAAGTACAATATAATGAACAATAGTTACTTGTAACTGTTGATCTTATCTAAACTCGATCTAATCTACTAAATCTAGAATGTGTAAACGTGACCCTAGTATAATTCATCTTGTTATTATTAAATCGATCAATTTGAATTTATTGTTCATGGAAACTAAAAAGAATATCATAGTTCAGTCTTCAGTGAATGGATTAATTATAGATCTATCAATTTAGGGGTTGTGGAGATTATTAAGTTTTTGAATGAGATCATCAACCGATTGATGTTAGACCACCATTAAAAACCTTGAAGCACTAGACGGCCGTTTCGTCCTATTGTGGGACTCCTCAGCAGTGCGAGTCCACGATAAAAATACTTAGCAATCTCTACAACCCCTAAACTGATAATTACCATGTGCTCACTAGTGAATAGCTTCGTGAGAAAATTAACGGAGTTCTGGTGAGAAGTCGTGACCAGTGGAGCTAATCCGTGTCGGGTAGGAACAGGTGTCTACCTCAGTACAATGGAAGATGGTCGTGTAACTTCGTGAATTGGTCTATTGAAATTTTTCCTACTAATTAAGATCATGATCAATTCAATCTCGCTAATAGTCATCACGGCGAGAGCATAATAACCAACCAGATTTACGACAACAAGTCTGAGATTTTGGTGCGAAATTCATTCACTCATTTGTTTAAATAGAGTTTTGACATTATAGCTGATGTCAGTTCGGGATGAATACTTACTTACGCCTGTTACTCCTCGTGAAGGAGCATAGGCCGCTCACCAGCATTCTCCATCCAACCCTATCCTGGGCAATCCTTTCTAGCTCCGTCCAGTTGTAATTCATCCTTTTCATATCTGCTTCTATTATCCGACGCAATGTGTTCTTTGGCCTTCCTCTTTTTCGCTTCCCTTCAGGATTCCAAGTTAGGGCTTGCCTCGTGATGCAGTTCGACGATTTGCGTAATGTATGTCCTATCCATTTCCATCGTCTTTTCCTAATTTCTTCTTCAGCTGGAAGTTGGTTTGTTCTCTCCCACAGAAGGCTATTGTTGATGGTATCCGGCCAATGGATGTTGAGTATCTTGCGTAGACAGCTATTTATAAATACTTGTACTTTCTTGATTGTGGTTGTTGTAGTTCTCCAAGTTTCAGCTTCATACAGTAGAACTGCCTTGACGTTCGTATTGAAGATTCTTACTTTGATATTGGTTGAAACTTGTTTTGAGTTCCATATGTTCTTCAATTGTAGGAATGCGACCCTTGCTTTGCCGATCCTCGCCTTTACGTCTGCATCTGAACCTCCTTGTTCATCGATGATGCTTCCTAGGTATGTGAAGGACTCTACATCTTCCAGAGTTTTGCCATCAAGTGTGATTGGATTGCTGTTCTCCGCTTTGAATTTGAGGACCTTAGTTTTCCCTTTGTGTATGCTGAGGCCTACTGATGCAGAGACTGCTGCTACACTGGCTGCCTTCATCTGCATCTGTTCGTGTCTACGTGATAGGAGGGCTAGGTCATCTGCGAAGTCAAAATCGTCTAATTGGTTCTGAGCTGTCCATTGTATGCCGTGTTTTCCTTCAGATGTTGAGGTCTTCATAATCCAGTCGACCACCAGAAGAAAGAGTTGTGATGAATACCCTAATTCTAATTCCTAACCTTAAACATCAACTGTAAATCATAATTCATATTCTTCAAACTGCGTTATAACCCTCATTTAACCATAGTAAGTAGGTAGACACTCTCAAAATCAATTTAACATCGCTCAAATGTCGTCCATATGTTATAGTCTCACCATCATTACAACCATAGAGAAATATCTTATACACATACTTTGTACTACTTACAAATGTATAAGTAATATATATTAAATAAACTAAATTCTGACATGGATATAACACTTCCAAAGTTTTAGGAAGGTTTTTAATATCATCAATTGGAATATTAAGGGACATTCTTTTCAGTTATATTAATATAAATTAGACTAAACAAAACTAAATGTATGTCTTCTCAGGAACAACAACATAAAGCAAACAATAATCATTAAATGTGTGTTGATTTATGTTGATTAGTTTCTAGGACTTTTATTTAAGATCTGGTATATTATTCTTCTAATGAATGATAAAACATCAAAACTAAAAAAAGCAAAAGAGAATAGTTTCAATATGAAGAATAAGTGCTATATCACCAATTATGGATTCAATAAATCTTTTCAAGATTATTCATATATTTACATTCACATAGAAAATCCATTGAATATACAATTTTTCACTCATGTAAAGAAAAGGTGCATATTTTCACTAATTTCTTTTCTTGTTTTTTTTCTAAAAATGTCATTTATCATACATTTTATTGAATTTCATGACATTTATCTGGGTTGTGTATCTTTTTAAGACCAAAATGGGGGGGGTAGGGGTGGGGATGGGGGAAAATAATAATGTTTCTTTGTTCACAAAAAGTAAGTTAACGATGGGAATTATTTTTTCTCGTATTGTAATCTAAAGCAATATAAAATGTCATTACTTTAGTCACTATACATTATTATGTAAAAAAACGGGGGGGGGGAGTTAAGATTGTGAATTACTGTTATAATAATAAAGCATATTCATTATGAAGATGATTAGTTAGAATAGATTAGTTGTTAACTGAGATTTTAATTGAAATGAAACTAATTGACTTAAAATTATCAAGAAAAGTGCAGGAAAAATGAAGTTAATTCTGTGATCTCTGATCTGGTTCTATCAGTAATATATGCTATGAATACCCGCTTCACTTATATATGCATGAATGTAAACTAACTGTTATATCCTAGTGAAAATTGCATTACGAGTAATGTCTGAGACTTATTAATCGAAAAATATTATTTATATATTCTTATGGTATAAATTTTCAGTAACTAGATTGTGTTTTTCTATATTTCCCCATATTATAAGCTTCATTTTGATCTATAGATTATTATTGTACGATATACTGTTCTTAAGTTATACTTAGTTATTTGATTACCGTCTCCCATGTTCACAGTAACTTTTCGGCTTTATTGTGTACAAATGTTATTTCCTATTATATGGTGCGTTGCAGTCTGTTTGTTTGATATATAAACCCAGTATGTTTGAAATAAAAGATTCTATTCGATTCGTATATTGGAAGCTGGTATTGGTGTTCTGGACTCAAGTGGACAGGTTAGGCGGACATAGGACCAATTAGGA